TGTAACCCATAATTACAGATCCACTTGTATAGCCTCACAGGAATCTTATTTCCAAGTAAAAAAAATATAAATACCACCTCAAAACCCCTGAACAGCCACAGAAAAGTGAATGTGCGTGATTTAAAGTCAGGTTTTAGCTGTCACCAACGCACAGGTTCATCCGTCTGAGTGTCAGACTCATTCCCTTCGACTCCTTTCCAGGGAACTTTGAGGTGGTTTTGTCAAGCAGGAGCAGAGTTTTCAGCCTGATCAGGATCATCCAGGACCGGGTCGGGACCCAGACCTCCAGGCTGGAGGTTTTTCCGGAGCAGAGAGCCCGCAGAGGAGGCCCACCTGACCCCCGGAGAGCTCCCCTGGAAGAGTGTGGCTTCAAAGGAGGACGTAAGGAAAGTCCTCCAGAGGACACTGTGTACTGCGACTACAGACTTGTTTACAGACTGTCCAGTCCTCAACTGTGACCACTACCTCAGGTCCAAACCAGATTCTGCTGCCAGGAGGACTGGACACTGTCCATAAGTTACACAACCGTCTGACAGTGTTTCTAGCCATGCTAGTGATCGGTCCACCACTTTGGTTCAGACTGAAATATCTCAACTACCACTGGATGTTTGCCATAAAGTTTAGTACAGACATTCACATTCTCCAGAGGATGAATCCCATTGACTTTGGTGATCCTGTAACTTTCCCCTCTAGCGCCACCATGAGGTTCACATCTGTGGTTTTGACTTGAATATTTCAACAACTGTTGGATGGATTATCATGACATGTGGTTTTCATGTTCCCCTCAGGATGAATTGTAATAGCTTTGGTGATCCTTTAACTTTTCATCTCGCTCCATCGTCAGGTCAAAATCTGTATTCTGCCAGTTTTACCTAGGAGTTTATTTCCTGCTGCAGTGGTGGTGGTGTGTGCAGCACAGCAGCCACTGTTGTTATTGTCGTCTACCTGCGAGAGCGGCGTCAGCGATCAGTAAACCTGTCCGTCGTCGCTGCAGACTTCAATCAGACACATTTAAAGAAATTCCACCAGCATGTCAAGTTTGCTAGAGAGGAGAGGATAAAATACACTGGACCTTGTTAACATCCAAGTTACTGCTGTCAATGTTAGAGCGCTCACTCTGTGTTAATGTTTTAGTCTACAATTATTTTTGTTTTATTGCACGTGTTTATTGCTTTGCTCTCATCCTTAATTTTGGTCCTTTTCGTGCCGTATGTGTATCAATGACAATGACCTTGTGAGGTTTTTGAGGGGGGTGGGTGTGTGTGTGTGTGTGTGTGTGTGTGTGTGTGTGTGTGTGTGTGTGTGTGTGTGTGTGTGGGGGGGGGGCTTTAGACCAGGTGAGTCACGACTCAGAAGCAGGAATGGAGCTCAAACAAAAGGTTACTTTATTTTCTAATGGTGGTTGGTGACGAGGAGGCTGAAGAAACTGACATTCCTCCTGTACTGGGGTTCAGTCCTCGGATGCTCCCTGAAGACAAATAGACAATAGAGGAGTGTGCTGGGGAGGGCGGGGGGGTTCATTCAGCTTCTTAGTAGCTCTGACCCAATCGGTCTCCCCCCAGTCTCCTCAACACAGCAGCACAAGTAAAACTAGTGCGAGCAGCAGCCCTCCCTTCCCTCTGTCTGTTCGGCTGAATCCATATGTTTAGGAAACATCCACTCGAAGCGTCACAGACTTAATGAGCGAATTCTCCGTAAATCCCTGAGGAAGTCAGCAAGGAGCCTCAAGTGGTTTTCTGTGCACAAGTCCTGCATTTAGGTACCAGTATCAGTACCCCGAGAACCATTCAGACAGATACCACACCATGAGGTCATGGTGTATTTTACCCCCTTGCACAATTGATGTGAAGACGTCACTGTATGAGTGACCCAAGTCTGCTGGGGGTTCAGCCCCCAAGTGCAGAGGATGGAGGTTTGGATTCAGCCTTCATCACCCCACAGGGTCTGTCCCAGGACTCACCCTTGTGGTCTCGAGTATGGAAGTGCACATTCATGCCAACAATCAGGTCCAGATTCGAAGTTTACGACATGATCAAACACCACAAACACGGCAGAAACTTCACACGTGCCTATTCTTAGTGACACTGACAACATTAATGATACATATGTGACAAATATTTGATGGATCCTTTTATCAAAAGAAAAACTGACCATGAGACTTTTATGCACAGTCTACTATGGAAGAGGATTAGGGCCACATGTTTTTTATATATAATTCTGAGTTCAAAGTCTGACTTTAAACTCAGAATTCTGAGATTGAAGTCAGAAAAATCCTTTCACATGTGGAGACTGAAGAGCTTCTAGATAACTCAATTTAACGTCTTCATTAATTGTGCTACTTCTCTCAGCTTCTAACAAATCATCTGAACTGGACTGTACCATGAAGAGTGTTTGTATTTGTGGGGGTGACAGGACGAACCAAGCCTGTCCTGTGGAAATTACTGGAAATATGTTACTCAAGTAGGCACTTGAGTACTGCAAAAACCTGCACAAGACTTCTGCAACGTCTTCTTTATGTTTGAATAAATACGTACAATAACGCCCCACCCCAATGTGAGGAGCAATTCAGACCTGAGCATTAAAACCTGCCGTGTAAACATAAAGTTGAACTCTGAACAATCAGGAAAGTTTGGTCTTAAAAGAGGATTTATGTGCGAGAGCTGCAGGGAGCTTCACACTCAGCAGCCTGTGGCCTGCTTCCACTTTAATTACACACTCTGATGTGTCCTCACAGGGATATAATTTCAGCCAGAGTGTTCAAATCTTTATTCCAACATAAAGCAGTGTTTTTAGCTGTGGCCTCGGGGGGGCCACAGAGGCTGAACTGTGCTGTGTTGGAGTCAGTGGAAAGTGCTTGGCTGGTGGAAACCACAGAGCAGCTATAAACAGTGGCTGGTGGCGGCTGCTAAAGCGTGCCATGCAGCCGACACACCCAGCAGCTTCTCTGCTGCTCCACCCAGACCGGCTTTTAGATCCCAGCTGCAGATATAATTCACTGCAACAGCAGCTGCTTCATTTGTGAACAAACACACAGAGCAGGAGAAGATTTATGCCTCAGGACAAAACAACAAAAACGACAGTTTTCAAAGTGAAAATAGTTTTTATTCATTAGGTTCAAAAATACTGCACAATATAAATATTAAAAAATTGAATACTTTTTATGTTTCAATATACTTGAACTTTACTTTAACACTGTTTACATTTGGGATAAAAAGGAAATATAAAGGAATAATATCAATATAACTAATGTACATATGTGTGTGTAGATGAGTGTAAATGTCTCTACTGAAAGATCTCAACATTATGACGGACTGTCCCATTTTCCCGGGGTGCAACCCCCTCTGTGAAGAATCTCTTTCATCTCTGAAACTTTAACTTTTCAGAGACTAAGATACAAACTTGTGACCCTTCATTTCTATGGAAGAATATTTTTGGCGTTATTGTCCAGCTGTTTCTCAGTGAACACAACACTGACATATCACCACCTTTTAACCTTAACCTTTGAATATTTACACATGCAGCAGGTACAGAGCAACATCATTCATGTGGAGTCATGTTTGTCCAGTATTCTCTCTCTTTTAGCTCTGTGTTTGGCGTCCACCAGCTCTGGAGGGAGATATCTAATTGTCTTTTTGCTGAGCAGGTGGTGAACAGTGGGTTTTTTTTTACATCTGTTTCTTACAGAAAACAACACTATGAGAGCGGTAAGAGTGAACCAAAACACTAAGAGTCGTGGGGCCGGACAGTTAAAAAATGAACTGAAACTCACTTTAAAGCTTCATGAAGCCGAGGGCAGCTGCAGATTCACCTGATAATTCTCTATAGTTTCTTCACCATGAGTGACCTCTTTCACATTACAGTTGTTACAATAAAAATACCGATTATAGCCTCTTTAAATTTAAGGATGCAATCATTTCACTTTCACTTTAAAAGCATGAAGAATCACAAAAAGTTTAAGGTTTAACCTGCTGTTGTAACACTTCTCACATACAGTGATTCATCCAATAGAGAGATGGCATTTTTACAACAATGCTCTAAAGGCCGCAATGAAAATCTCCAACTGCAACAAAGTAAAGACAATCATACTGACTTACATCCAGCCTCAGTTTTTCCTCCTGAAAACGAGAATAAAATCTCCCAGTACAGTGTAATAATTCAGTTTTTTTCTTGTAAAAGTATATTAATGCTATTATTATTCCAGTATATTTCTATTGGAAAGAGATGAAACCATGTCACCCTGAAACCCAGTGACAAATTCTTCTGTACTTCTGCAAACAAAATCCCATTTTTTGAGTCAATAAAACCCCATTCGGACTGGATTTATTTCTCCAGGGGGGTATCTGGCACACGTCTCCCCTCAAACTCTCTTGCGCCCCCCTGGCGAGGCTTTGTCTTCCTCTTTTGTTGTTGCTATTACAGACCATCTCCTGTAATTTTCTGATGGTTCAAAACCCGTATTGAACGATCAGTTAATTAAACAGTGAATATTTCCCCCCCCCCCCCTAATGTTAATCCTGTCTGAATGGGGCTCACAGACTAAATGAATCGGTAAGATGGAGTTTTCACAGTTTTCAAAATAGCCCTTAAAGCCATAATTTAAAAATGAATTTCAAAATAAATCCAGTCAGTCCCAGACACGAATGATCCTGCAGCAGCTCTTCAGACAGAATACTTTGTTCTCAGAGTGAAATATATGTTTCAAGACTGCAAACAGCCACAGACAGCAGCAGCTATTTTCTTCACCACCAAACCTTCACTGGTTTATGAGTGGAGCGCAGCCCGACAGTTTGTTTATAGGCCAGAAAGAAGCTGGGACAGCAAAATGAGCTTTTAAAAAAACTTGTCTTCACCATCCATCTGCCAGCAAAATGCCCACAGTCTGTTTGGTGTGAGCGAAACGAGTCAGTCCTGCTGCTTTGGTTGATTGCCTCGATGCTTTTTACACACACACACACACACACACACACACACACACACACACACACACACACACACACACACACACACACACACACACACACACACACACACACACACACACCTACATGCTCTATCTCACAGTGAGAATGAGATAAAAAGCAGGGAGAGTGTTTTCCTTTGGTCAGGGAATCCATTCTGTGAGAAACACTGACTTTGGATGCAGCAGGAAATATGAAGCTCACATCCTCCAGTATTCCTGGTTGCACTTGATCGTCAGTGTTTTTTCCTTCAGCATTTAGTCGAGCCCTTGCTGCTTGTTTTTGAGTCGATCTTGGCGACGAGCAGCCTGAGCGAGTTTCCTGATGATCTAATCAGTTCTCTACCACTGAAATGAAAAACAAAAAGTGGTAAGTGTGTGTGAGATAATATAATATAATATAATATAATATAATATCATATCATATAATGTAGTTTATTTTAATACTTACACATTATATTCCATTCCAACCAAGCTGATGCCGTTAACTGCCAGGATGCGATCGCCTGTTCTCAGTTTCTGACACTGATCAGCAGGAGAGTCAGGAACCACTGACTTCACATAAATCCCGCTCATTCTCAGTGGGGTTTTCTATTTGAAGACAAAACAGGGAAAATGAAAAGATCATCATCATCATCTGTGGAGGCAGAGTGTGTGCTGATATTTCCTTTTGAGCTGTTAATTGTGTTAATTTCGTTAATAGCTAAATATATTCGTCAGTGCTCATTTTTCATTGGATCACTCAGAAAACAGTCAGCCAATCAGAAGAGAGTGGCATTTGTTTCAGCAGTAGGCAGACTACCAAACCAAACTGTGACAGACAGAGCTAGAGAAGATCCTCCAGGATGAGGGCAACAAAACGGGTTGATATCTGGACCCACTTCAAATATAATGTCACCGAGAGAAAATGTGAGTGTGTTGTAAGTTATTATCAGGGGAGAAGCTCTGCGGCTACAGAACCACTGGGAAGAAAACCACAACCCTGAAGAGACACCTCACACAAACGGGGGGGTTGCATATTTTTCCAGGCGAAGGCTGTGCAGCGATAGCGCTGTGAGACGTGGTCTATTGCTCACTCTCCTCTGTTTAAAAAGATGAAGTCATGTATCTCGGTTCAAACTGTATGGAAATGTAATGCTGTGCGACTGCAAATGTGTTTCTAAATGTTGCCATCGTTTTTGTTGGGCAGAAACACCAGTAATTGATGTTTAATTTGATTTATTTTACAGTTTGAATTACAACTACAAACTCTGAAATTGTTTATGGACATTACTTTACAATCATAAAATCTTTTTTAACTCTAATTTGAGCCCGTACGTCTGTTACATTTCCTCAAATTACTTTTTTTTTGTCCATCCAACACATTAAAACCCAAAAGAATCAGTTTACTATCAAAGCAATCTAAGAAAATATATTAATATTATTAAATATATTTACTTTTGAGTGGCTGGAAAGAGAAAATTTTGTCATTTTTACGATGAATTAAATATCAAAATAGCTGCCAATAAATTTTCTGTCAATCATCTAAATGTCTCAGCTCTATGGAAGCATCATTTCTATAGCTATGAACAGTCTCACTAAGATTTTGTTAAACATAATTAATGGGTTGCCCTCCAACTGTATCACTGTACCATACTGGCTCTTGTCCATGAGACTGGGATGTAGCAACATACACTACAGTGTGGTTAAATGTGTTCTGTAGTTTCAGTCTGTTCAGTTAAAATCCCTGCAGTTTAAAGTCAGATCTGATTAGTCTGTTGCATGAGATCTGAGCTACACAAGGTTTTTCTTGGCTACGTGATCGGATTAAATTGTGTTAAACCATAAGAGCAAATTCATTGTAAACCACAACTGAAACTCTGCGAAACTCCACTGTGATTACTTGTGATTAAATAACTGTGACGTAAGAGAGAGGACGGAGCAGGTGGATGATGGATAATATCAAGTAGAAGACGTCGTACCGTTCCGTCTACGAGCGCCAGCCCCAGACCATGAGGTCCTCTGTGAAGCTCCACCGTGAACACCTCTTCTTTCTCTCCTTCTTCTTCTTCCTCCACATTTTCTGTTTTCCTCTCAGCACATCCACTGGCTACACAAACACAGAGAGACACGCGATCGAGTCAAAACGAAGTGGTGTTAAATATAATGTAAGTACAGAGTAAAGAGGATTAATAGTAAGTGGCATACATAAACAACTTTAACTCCTATGTCAGTTAGAAGCAAACAGCAGAATCACTTATTACACTTATTACTTATACACAAATTAAACTATAGACCTCCATTTGATTAGATTTTGTCCCAGGGTCCCTGACCTAAGAAGATTTTTGCTCATAGATGTAGATTTATTACAGAAAGTAATAGTCATACATTGTGTAATTGTGGATGAAATTATAGTGAAAATAAATGATACCCCTACACGACCCCTACACAACAAGCAAAAGTTCACAACTTAATGAATCCACCATGGACACAATCAGATGTTCTCAGGTCAGTGTGATTCTTTAACACAGAATTCTGGTTTGAAATACAAGAATAAAAAAGAGAAATGACAAATTACAAGAATAAACAAACTTGTCAGTAAACTTATAAGTTTGACCCCAGAGTTCAATTTAGCATTTATTTTATAAAACCTCTACACATAGTTTTCAGTTGAACTGGTTACTTCTTTATATCCTTCTGTGACTAATCACTGTGTGAGGACATGTGTGTAGACATGATTGAGTCCTTATTTTATATGTTTAACACTGATGTCTGACTAATCAGACTTTAAATAGAATATGTATTAAGTGCCATACATAAATCAACGTCTGGGACCATTCTTCTGATGTGTTACTGACTCAGTTTTCCCATGGACCAAACATGAACTGTAGAGATTCAGCAACTCTCAAAACTCCTAAACAGAATTAGAATCTAGTAAAAGTGGGGCTGCAACTAACAATACATTTCATTGTTATTAATCTAAATCTGCACATTATATTTATTAATTATCCACTGATAGTTTAGTCTATAAAATATAGTGAATAAATGCCCATTGCAGCTTAGCAGAGTCCAAGATGATGTCTTCAAATCAACACTGTAGTGCTCGAGTCCAGGACTTGGACTCTGGGGACCTGAGACTCGACTCGGACTCAAGGTTTAGTGACTCGACTACAACACTGGTTCAAATGTCCTACCAACAGTCCAAAGTCTGAAATCTTAAGTCTCGTTTGAAGATATTGTATCAGTGGTGACAGAACAGCTCACTAAATATTGTCCATAACCTTGTTCTCCAAACGATGAGCTCAGCTCTAGTGAACTTCAGACAGTGTTTAAATGAAATAAATGACCCACTGAGCTGAGACCAGACCTGGTTGCTCTGGACTCGTTACCATCCTGCTGCGCTGTAACAGGGACTTCCAGTGACAGTAACATTCCCAAACAACCTGTTCCCACCCCTGCAGCTCCTGCTCCCCTCCTCCTCACCCCCACTTCCCTCCGCCTTTTCCCAACATGCAGCCTGTCTGCCCCCCACGCAGGACCTGACCCGAACAATGCCGCCCCCGATTAAGATTCCACGCACCAACCCAACTGTAAATTCCCATGACGGATCGGCCACTGCTCTTTTCTCTCCTGACATCACCACCTCTCTGTAACTCTTGGGGCCAGATTAAAGGATTACCAAACTTTGAAAATAACATTAGCTGTTAGCCAAAAGCACAGAGGTAGACGTACTGCAGGCCGAGGTACGGCCCGTGTGATATAACAGAGTTCCCATCAGGGGGTACAACTCCAGGACTTCCCTGAACTAGTTCAATGGTAAAAACATTATCTTTATTACAGATTAGGATTTATAGAATTAATTTGGTTTCAACTACAACTGTAAAGTTGTACAAAACTATTTTAAAAATGACTATTTTATAAAAAAAATCTCAAATCAGTGACTGATGGGGAATATTGGAAATAAACCATGTGCTTTCCTTTACTATTACTATTATTAATACTGACAATACTATATGTTATAATAGTGTAATATATAACTTATATATAAATACAAAATGACAGTTTAATGCAGTTTAGAGAGTTGAGTTTCTTATGAGAATTTATCAAAGAACAAACAATATCAAATTTCCTATAAAAATCTTAGAATTTAAATTTTTTTCTGACACTGAAAAAAATCAATGACTAATATATATTATATAATAATGTAAATGCTATATTCAATAGTGGTTTAATTTCCTTTATTACAGAGTTAAGTCTTCTTGATTTTTTAGAAAATATTAAACCATTACATATAGGTTGCACAAAAAATTAATTGGCAACTATTTTGATTATCAACTGATATTGATCATTCACAGTGCTCTTTGAAATTAAAAATATCAAACATTTGATGAGAATTTGCTGCTTTTTCTGGTTTTACTTTATAGTAAATTGAATATCTGTTGCTCAAATACCTTAAATTCTACGAAATAATAATAGACATTTTTCACTACTCCTTAAGTTTCATAAACAAAATTATTTTGTCTAGTTTCAACTATACAGTAGCTGTAAACTCAGACAATCTTCAACTTTCTAAACTAAACTATCTTAAAAATGACAAATTAATGCAGTTGAGGCATTCGCCAGATCCTGATGAGAAATTATCTAAGGGTAAAAATCTTGAACCTACTTGGGAATACTGGAAATAAAATAAAGGAACAAAATAATTGCACCTCTACATAATATGTGTAGATTGATAAAGTATTAAACTACTGAATGTACAGCCTATTAGCACAGATATACATGAAGAGATTGTGCCAGATGGCTTTTTGTCAACGTAATCCTCAAACCCTTTCAGCAAATTACTTTTGATAAAAGCATTAACAGAGAAAACACAAAGCAACAAGTGACCAATGAGAGTAAAGATATCTGATTAAGATCAACAAAATCCTTCAGCTTAAACCCCCTCTGTAACTGCACAAAACCACATTGGGGGGTCTGTTAGGGAGCACATTAACACAGGTTGAACCTCTTAACATACAAATACAATCACATGTGATGAAAAGTGGTTTTGAAGGTACAAATCTGAGCTCAGCTTCTGGACCAACCAGGCTCATTAGATACTGCAGAGGCTCCTCCCTCCTGATCCACCACTCAGACTGTGGTTAAAATGAATTTCTCTAAGAATTCACATACACATCCTTCATGTTTGATTTGACTTGTGTAAAATTTAAGTTTCAGCTATTTACCTCTCATGATAGCTTCTGTCTCAAGCAGCAGCTAAAACATGACATCCTCTCATTAACATTAATCATTAGAGGCAGTTAGCTGAAAACGCCAGACTTCTAACTAACGATGAGAATCATTTTTATGAATCACTCTAGTGTAAAACTAAATTCTGTTGTTTACAACACTTACTCATTGTGACTTATGGATTTCTAACATGTAGCGCACTTTACAGACAGCTATACATACGTTGTTCCTTTAGAATGTAGTTATCTTTTTCTCCGGCACCACAGACAGCCGACCTTTACAAGCTGTTAACGGTACACCGAGCTAAAGTTCGAACAAATTCAAACTGGCGCGTAATTTGTCTAAACTGATTCGAACACACTCCGGGCTGCATATCTATACATCTTGCTATTTGACCAGTGAATGGTCTTTTTATGAACCTCTGGCAAAAGTCCTGAGGACGAGTGTGACACAAAGTACAGACAGTCAGACGAGCTTGTACAATTGATGTTGCGCCACGTGTTTCGTAGTACAGTAAGGCAACGCTGTCCATAAAGTCAACAAACTCTGTTGGTCATTTAAAACCCAAATACTTCCACACATGACACAATTTTTAATAAGAAGTGACAGCCCTTGCACATGAACTTGCTCAGTTCTGTTTTGGGAAACGTGTAGAAATTTAAGAGAGTTTGTAAAAATGTAAGTGGGAATGTTTGTTCGACTTCTAACAACGAAATCCTAAAAATAAAAAAAAATAAAATCCTACAAAATGTGGCCCAGGACCATGACTTTTGATTTGTGTTTGCTAAAGCCGACGATAACAACCAGAAGCTAAGAGACAAAACCGGAAATGGAAAAAAAACAATAAAACAATAAACAAATGTACATGGCCACAGAAACTGACAGAACATTTCTCGGCAGTGACGTCCCTAAAATGTCAAACTTGAGCATTATCATTAAACTTTTCTTCTAATTTCCGATGTTTCCAGTCAGTTTTTAAGTGTTGCACAGACACACACTTGCTGTCAGGGGGAACACCCCTCCAGATGCCTGACGCTTAGTCACTCTGACCGCCAGTTTGTCCAGAAATGATGTAAAAATGGAAAATTGCGCACAAAAGCTGCATTTAAATTTTTAGTGTGTATATTACTTTAAAATTGAAGTAGTTGACTCAAACACTGACTCCCTCTGACTCCTACAGATGACCTAATGACGGAGGCGTCCAAAAACAATAGGGGTGGGAGAGGAAACACTCCTTCCTCTGCACAGCGAACCCACCCTGCATGGCCTTCCACTTGAAATTCCTGACCTCCACAGTCAGTAAAAGATGAAGCGCTCCACCTCTTTTAAGTCGGGGCACCTTTATGTGGACCTGGAACCGCCGGCGACAAATATGCAGCAGGTCCACAAGGTCAAGTCACTAAATACTTTCCTTAATAGATTCAGTCAGTCAGAGGAGGGAAATGGGGTTTTGGGAGGAATGAGCACCGGTGACCTCATTCCAAGATGTTGGAAACAAGAGGAGGAGGTTTGAGCTGAAGTGACAAGAGCTGCGTGTTATTTGAATCAAAACCTGCTGTGTGCATGTGAAGCCATGAATGGGCTTTTTCAGATGCTTTCGGTTTGTCATCATGTGTGGTGGTTTGCTCTTTGTTTCACACTCTTTCTCCCAAGTATCATCTGCTGTTCTCAGGTTTCAGTTGATGGGATCTTTAAAGGATCTTTGAAGCCATATCTATTTTTAAAATGACTATAATGTATGCTTTGAAGACCAGAATATCTGTAGAAAATAATATGACAAACCATCCAACCACTCTCCCTCGCACAGCCAAAAATCAACAGATTCATCAATAATGAAAACAGTATTAGTTGCAGCCCAAGTGCATCCTGAATAAAATACTTTAAACTTATTATTCATGGTTATTTTGTCCAATACAACGAAACTGTGTAAAACTACGGTTCTGAGAGCTCAATTCACTGCAGCTAAAGAAAACACAGCGTAAAGTCAATATCAAATGAGGAAAACATCAGACACCACTTATGAACAGTCAACTTCAGTGTGTTTTGGTATTTGCCTGTGTTGTCTTTATCTCCATATATGGTTGTGTTGTGTATCTGTTTACACCCAGTTTTTTATGGTGCATATATGTTGTCAAATTGATGAATGTGCTCCTCAGCTGGTCTGTGTTTTATACATTTTCTTCACATTGCTGCACATGAGTTGTAGAACTGGTGAAGGTGTTTTCTTCACTTGTCTGTGCCTTGTGTATTTGCATGTGTATTCTGTAGTGAGTGACAGAGAAAAGCAGCAAATCCTCACACTTGAGAAGCTGTGATCAACACCTCTCTCAAATAAGTTGATCACATTTGATTTACCAATCATCAGAATCAAATTTAAATGTACTGCTCTCATGTCTGTGCGGATCTTCTGCCTTTGTCTGACTTCTGCCCTCAGTTACCTTTCTTTTGTTGACGGGCGCCCTCCTGCAGATCAGCCTCCAGCTCGGCCAGCTCCATACCCTGGGGGGTGTTGGGTGGCGTGAGCAGGCAGGACGGGTCCAGCGCCAGGCTCTTGTGGTAGCCCATGTCAACCTGTCCTGGGAGAGCGTTCTGCAGCTCCAGGCTCTTTAGCTTCTGGGTCAGGACTGCTTCACAGCTGCTCAGGTCGCCGTGAGATCCTCTGACCTGAGCGGGCTCTGCAGGGGCAGTACAGTCCAGGTCTGCCTCAGGAGAGAGGCAGGTGACCAGGTCAGAGACCCCCTGATGGGCAGGATCCTGGAAGACTCTGATGGAGGGTGAGGTCGTAGACTGGCTGTCTGTAGTTGTCCCATTGAGAGCCTGAGTTTGGGAAATAAAAGTCGATCAATAACAGATGTAGAAACATCAAAGCGTCTCGTTTCTTGACTGCTGTAGCCTTCTCGTTATATTTTTGAGTTCTGGGGTCAGAGAGCTTGTTACCTGTTCCTCCACATCCGGTCCAGCTTGGGTTTCGCTGCAGGGGAGCTGGCGAATGAACTCCTGCAGATGACCGAGTTGTTCAAACAGCGCCGGCTCCACAATGGGTTTACCTAGCTCCAGGTGAAACGTGCTGCTGGGCAGGATGAGCGGCGGGTGGCTGTCGAAGCTCTCCAGGATGTCGCCTGCAGGATGAGATATAGGCCTGCCCGTTATCATCCATCACAAATGACCCGACCTTCACTACAGCTTTCTAATGAAAGTCAATCCCCAAGTAAATCTGCTGTATTTGGGTTAACACCTAATTAAGAGCCGTAAATAAAAAGTACAGGACCGCCGCTGGATCGGTTGCTGGTATTTTTTCGCAGCAGGGTGCAGTCAAGTCTGAAGTGAAGAGGTGAAGTGAAGCCGATTTGTGGGGACAGACTAGATTACTCTTACTAGTCACAGCATGTCCAAACTAAGCTGGTTAAATTTGTAAACTGATCTTTGTCTCTGCGTTTCAGCTCTGCCTTCAGACTGAAACAACTTTCTCTCCCTTAAAAACGGAACTTTTTCTAAACAGCCTCCTGAGTCTATAAAGGTAAAAAATCTGGATGGTTTTGATAAAGTAAGCCGTCCCAGTGAAGGCGGGGGGCTCCATTTAAGTTCAGACAACCTTTAGTCGCCTGATTTAGCATTTTAAATGTCAACACAGCGAACACACACTGCAGCTGTTGTGTTTTAACCTGGATTCATGTTGACTTTGTCAGACGCTGCCGCAATAAGAACATAAGGATTTTCTCGGCAGCCTGGGAATGACTGCTGATTAAAATGTAGTTATTTATTTATTTATTTCAAACTTGTTTAGTAAAATATGTTGTGAATTCAGTTGTATTAAAACATAGTATAGGTGACCACAGAGAACAGGAGGAGACTGGATGGGGGTGTAAATGAAGTAATGATTCTGACAGCTGTCATCTTTACCAGATGTTGGCTGGCTTTTGTTGTTTGCCAACTGAAAAGAGGTTGAAGAAGAAGAAGAGATTTAGTTGTTTTCTTTATTTTAAAGGTCCGAAACAGCTGAGAATGTAAAGTAAAATAAGAAGCACATTAGATTATGAGTTTTTTCTTCTCTCTTTTTTAATCAAATGATACTTGTCACATTCTCTGTTATTTACCATGACGTCTTGTGTGCAATCAAGCACGCTGACAGTCAAGTTCGAACATGTGAGGCTACACAATAGACTGTTCAGATTCCTGCTGACAAGAGAGTCTGGTTACAGCAGATGTCACACTGTCACACAGAAAAAGGGAAGAAAGTAGTTTCATAATCCAAAGTTTAAATGGATTTTGCCCTTTGCTCTTTGGTTTCTTTTTTAACTTTTAATCATGGTTCCCACACTTTCTTGCACATCAAATTCAAGGACTTTTCAAGGACTTTCCAAGCCCTATTACCTCAAATGAAGGACCCTACATGGCATAGTTTGAGACACGGATCAAGGTTTATTACTGTTACAACATTAAGATTTTTTACAATGACAACTAGCAGCTAAACAGATGCTCAGAGACAACAAAGGATTTGTCGGTTGGATAAATCAAACAATCTAAAGACACTGAAGACACTACTTCAGGCTTTGGGATATTATTATTGTGACATTCTGGGACAACTTTTTAATATTTCTTAAACTAAAAGATCGGTAGATCACTCAAGAAAATTAATGGCAGTTTATTGATAAGGAAAACAATCATTAGTTGTAGCCCCAGTGCTGATACTGGTCAGAATTTTCCAGAGAGAGAGACAGAATGGTTTCTGAAAAGATTGACTCACTGAAATGTCACAATCCCAGTTTACCAAAGCCCAACATGACGTCTTTTAATGGCTTGTTTTGTTCATAAGTCCAAAACGCAGAATATAAAAAAAATTTTAATTCATTTTTAAATAATTTTAATTATTATGATATATGATGAAAGAAAAGCTGCAAATCCCCATAGTCCCCCTCCCCAGAGTTATTGGCATTTTTGTTTGGAAAATTAATAAAACTATTAATTGGTTTTCTGTCAATCAACAAATCGATTAATCAGCTATTATTTCAGCTGTAAACTGGTCTATGTCTGTTCCTCACCTGTCCTAACAGCGTCCTGACCATCATCCGGTGATGGGGTCCATCCGGTGGGACAGGCTTTACCAGAGTTATATTCCCTCAGCATGTGGTGAAGCTGGGCCGGGTTCAGGGCAGCAAACTCAGTCCTGAGAGAAGTCCAGGACGCCTGTACCGGCAGAAAACAGCAAAGAAAACACAAACTTACGCCAAACCCCTTCATGAACATAAAATGCGGGATTGTAAAACTGACCCATTGATGTTTTCGTTTTCAGAAAGAGCCACTGAAGTACTTTGTAGTCTTTGTGAGAATGACAGGGGAGAAACCAACATGTTTGTTTCCATATAAGGAAAAAAGTCATTGCTACTCTCTCATTTGCATTCAAAGCATTTTAAACCAATTATATGATCTAGTAAATAGTCTTTGTCCCTGTCACCACTGGGGCCAGATGTGGTAACAAAGCTTCTTGGGAAAATATTTCAGTCTGAATCTAAAGCTGGTGAATACGGTAGCTTTTCTTCAAAGCCCGATCCTGTGTTCATTCTGCACCCCACATAAAAGGTGAGTGCTGCATTTAATAGAACTATTTAACTCGTGGTCCTTGTTCTGTGCATCATGAGAAGTGTAGACTTTGCATTTTCTTCCCTCAGCCTCTCAGGTTGCTGTGGAAGTTCTTATCATGAAATGCGACTATTTCCTCACAGCAGCAACTTGAGAATGACAATATTTGATGTTTTGATGACTGCAGAAAGTAGCTCAAGGACGAGGAAACACTCACCAGCCACATTCATGTGATTATTAAAAGACAAACATCACGAAAATTTCACAGTTCATTCAGTCTGTTTACAGCTGAATTGGTGGAAGTAAGACTTCGCCCAGACAAGCCGGTGCCACAATAGAAACCATAAGTTAAATGTTGTTGAGTCCCTGCCCTTCTCTTATAACACACATGCCACACTCAGCTCAGCAGAAGGTGAAGTTTAAATGCTGCTTATAAACGGCAGAAACTTTAAATGTCTCTTTTTGTTATGTCTGAGTGTCAATGTTTGGAGGCTGTACTCTCCTAAAATAACTCCTCAGATGTTGTGTTCTTCTTAACTGCTGGCAAAACAAGCCACACCACATCCCTCTGGTGTAATTTACAACTATGCCAGTGAGCCACTTCAGTTCTCAAGAGCCCAGAAAACTCCAGATGGAAAACTAAAAATCTGTCGAGGGTGTGTGCTCTGCCGCTGCAGCCACAGTGACCTCATGCCAAGGCAGGGATACATAAAACCACCAGCTTCCTAGCAACCATCCAATCCCACCAACAGATGAGACACGGACGTCGACAGCTGTGTCATGGGTGGGCTGGTGCTGTGTAATCCCCCCGGAGATGTCTCACGCTGGTAACTTGACTGAGAGTCATACAGTGAAAACAGGTGTCAACCTCAGAGTGTAAAAACTAAGCCTCATATCTGACCCAGTTCCTCCAAATATAGAACGTAGTGATACATGAACACCAACTAGTTAGCAACCGAACAGAGAAGTTAAAAGTTTGAATAGTCAACTAAAAGTAAAGAATAGATGGTTGCAAATGTGTTAAAAGTAATGGATAACAGTTTTGACATATTGTAATAAATAGCCTGTAATGAATAAGCAGCTGAAATAGTTTGTTACAAGTAGGGCTCGATATCAAACAATACTTTTATGGCCCGACTGAATTGGTTTGATTCTATCGAGGATCTCATTTCAAATACCTAAGGAGTAAATGAGTGAATCTCAGTGTCAGTGAGCCAATCAGCATGCAGCATGCTTGGAGCAAGCTCTAATAATGCTGGTGATTGGCTATTCATTTAAACAAAGATGTTTGAGTGTGTAAAGAGACTGAGCTTAAGAATAAAACAGAAATGTGTATTGTAATTTTCTTTTTGTTAAAATGGATTTGATAAAATTGGTATTGAAAAAAAAAGGTTAGCAGTAAGTTGTCAATATGGCAGTCAATGTACAGAATGTGTTAATAAATGCTGCAGCTTCTCACGACCAAGAAAAGTCCTATGTTGGAGAAGTGAAGAGGGTTAGCCCTAGCAAACATCTCCCCAAGAAAGGCTAACGTTAACAGTGCGTTTTTTGGCTGCTATGTAACATTAGCTACATTCACAGGAAGTAACATTAATTAGCTGCTTGTCATTATTACCTGTGTGTCCCATGTTAGGATCCTCTGTTAGTAATTACAACATAGCTAGTGGCTCCACACTATAAGGCAGGCTACTCGACTTAGCTACAGTGATATTACTACCTCACTTACTTGTCCAGTAAGTGAACGTCAGGTAACTAACTAAAGTCTAATTTGTCATGTACACATACACTGATAGTTAAATTATATTTCAGTTTTCAGTTGAGTCTATTAAACTGGTTGTTTAGGAAGAGAAAGGAGGATGGGGACCATGGAGGAGCTGAGGTTAGTAAAGCTAATTAGGGATGCTAATTAGTCACCTTTTAGCTAATGAGAGGTTCCTTTTGGATTTTAAAGTACAAATGCCTAAACAGAATGGAGGAAATAAAAATGCTTGTTGCATGTTGCCTATCTAAGTGCTAAAGTGTGTTACCAGAAAAAAAAGGCCAGTAGTGCAGGTGAGGGAGGAGAGAGAGGCAAGAGAGGAGCAAGGAGGACAGGAGAGAGAGGATGCAGTGGTGGGTCATGAATGAGAAGAGGAGCTGTGACACTGTGACGTCCCTGTGGTTCACAGTTTACAATGATCCCTCGCTGAGTTGTGCCCCACATCAACATGCTGTTTCAATCAATAAATCACATTAAGAGGCAGTGAAACCCAAGAAGTAATACGCCCCCACTGCATTTGTCTTGTAACAAGGATTAAGATTTACATCCAAGCTTTGATTTGAATTTCTTATTCTGAGGGATATACTGTATTTAAGATACAAAGATCGATTTGGAGGTAATGTAAAGTACATATTAGAGGCTCTTTCTATTTATAGCATGCTGTATATAGCTACTTCACCACAAAAACATCCAGCACCTTTCATGTCATCATCTTTGCAGCAGCCATAAACCTGTGAATCAGGAAGGTTTGTTGTTTTGGAGGTTTGTACAACCTTTGTTCCTCATGCGTCATACCTGAGTAGTTTTATGTGTGAGTGTCTCTTTATGACTCTGAATACCTGAGTGTTCAATAACCAGCCAGGTGAGAGCTCAGATTCCTCTGGTGGTGCAAAGTGTAAACAAGATTTGAATGGGTAACTAAGAAAGGAGGGATTGAGTGTCAAATTGGCACAGCAAAGATTAAACACAATATAAACTTGTTGTTCTCGTGGTGTACAGTATTGTTTGATGTAATTGCTGAACATACAGAGGGTATGAAAGCCTCTAAGATGCCTTTACTCTAATGTGTTTCTATGTTTCCACTTGGCTTATGTCGAGCATTAATAGGATTTGAGCTGATAATATATTACTTACATACTCTGGCTAACAGGATATACTCTGGTCTGAATGACTATTAGTGACAGTCAGACCATCATTAGCACCATGACATCATGATTTGAACATTTTAGTGTATTTACTCACTCTTTTTCTGAAGGTTATTTCCTCATATTTGAACAGTGAGCACTGTACTATGGAAGCTACTCATTGCTATTATAACCATAAACTAATAACATGCTTCCACAGACTTGTCAGATTTTATGGCTTTATCAGTTGGCCTTTGTTTAGCAACAATAAGACACTGCTGAAAAGAGCAGGTGCTACATTGCTGCTGTGGAAGGGGTTAAGTGAAGTTCAGATTTCTCAAAGATGGAAAATTTTGCACCTAATAAATAAACATGAAATAATGCTGCAGCGACACCTTTAAGACAATGAAAACATTCAGGCTGGTGTAAACATGTCTCGACTTGTGAAGCTACTCCTGCCTGCGGCTAAGGCAAACAGGGAAGGAGAAGTGGATGTCCTCTGACCTGGAGGAGGGTTTCTTTGGGTGTGGCCAGCAGATTGACAGCAGCTGAAAGCTTCTGGAAGAACTCAGTGGCCAGATCGCCCAGTCCGATGCTCTGGACCCAGTCCATCAGCAGGTCCAGGTTGGCCCGGATCTGAACACCTCGCGACCACTGGTAGAACCCAGCAACAGATCCTGAATGATGAATTGGTCTTCGATTAGTCTTAAATTAGAGAATTGCATTGCATGATATCGATGTGCAACCAAAGGCTCGACTGACATTAGATAAGATTTAGTTTTCAGTAAGTCCTCAACTTAGGTCCAGACTAAAAGATCTTTATGTTTTTTTTATCTTTATCTATTGTACATTTATGTTTCCCTGATTTTTGTTGTCTGGTGCTACTGGTCACTGCATTTGTCACTGCTTACCATGTTACCATGGTAACATTTTTCTGAGACCTGAGTTGGCCTGCTGGTAAAGTGTTTTTGGCTTAAAATAGGTCAGTCTTTATTTTTGTGAAATGGTCTAACACGACAGAGTAGTCTGACATATCATTATGAAACCGGCCCCAGCTTTTCTTGATAGAGGACAGTGAGCTTACCTCTCTCCATCAGGGCGTTGAACAGCGATGCGTTGATGAAGAAGAACAGGTAGGCACAGAGCTGTAATGAGATGTCCGGATGCACCTGGAAAGCCTTGAGAAGCTTCAGCGCCTCCTTCAGCACCTCCAGGATGCCGCTGAGTCCGTCAGGCACTCGCAGCTGACCACTCTCTGAGAATGGGTTCCCATCCAGCAGACCAGGCAGAGCTGAATACATACTCTGTGGACAGAGATGGGCATGTTTTAAATCTCTGCAGTAAAGACGTTCAGGATGTTACAAAAAAAAACATCACCACTCCCAAAGCTAATGGACCATGGGAATCGAGCAGTGATGAGGCTGATGAATCTGTCTTTTGCTTTCACATGATTTCTCATTGTATTAAGTACTGTGTAATAACGTTAGTAGGACATTAAAGTACTTTTTTGTCTTTCTTAGTGTTGCTATGCACACAACATAATGACATGATGAGTCAGTGTGAGGGAGGCATCCACTGAGTAGACAGGAAACTTTGAAGGAGAGCATGTGTTTTGCACCACAAAAAGCAGCTCTGAGAAAATGCATAATGTTATACTACAGTTACAGAGTCAGAGTCATTAGAGATGCTAAAAAATGCACGCAAGTATATAAAATGACATCGTATAGTTTCACACAGATAATCAAAATACAGCATTCTGATACCCTTAAATTATGTGTTTTAACATTAATAAATAGTTATCATGTTAATTTGAGGACATAAGTGCCCTTGCTCAAAAATATAAATATGCTGAATGTAGTATCTTAAAAAGGGTAAGTGCTTGACAAAGAAAAAGATCTTGTCTTGCGAGCTGCTTTATTGAACACCACCTCTTTGTCAGATCCGGCTCTTATCTCGACTCCTTCTTCTGCCACAGTTCAGCCATTGTTTCACATGCATGACATCATCCTGATAGGTGCACATACACATAAACACACAGTCCCTCACACACCATGACTTAGATAATGACCTCAGATGCACTGAAAGTGGTTATAAAGATGACAATAACCCTGCATGCCCTTCCAGCGAGGCTCAGCAGATCTACAGGTGCTGTTGTTTCTTGTTATCGTGGAGACAGGGAGATAAATCTGCAGCTGCATTAATGTCCTTTGGTACAGTTTTATTCATATTCTAATTTTAAAGAGACTCAGAAAGAAAAAGAAGAAGTGGAAAAATGGTGTGTGCATTACGAACATTCAGTCACAGTTCACAGGAAATTAACCCCCCTGTTGGGTGTTTCTCTGGTGACAGTTTGTCTTCCTCTGCAGGAAACAGACTGCTGCCCATAGCTGCTAATCCCTCTCCTGTTTTTCTATCTAACAGAAAGACAGTTACCACCAAACACATGCACATACAGTACACTGTCTGTAATTAAGGGAGAAATAACATCATATGTTACTGCTAACAGAACTGGGGATGAGTGATTAACAAGCTTTGAAAGGGACAAATAAACATTATGTCTCAAACTGCACATAAAAGAAACCCTTAATTACACTGAGGAGCACATACTGTACAGTAAAATATCTCTTGTATATATATGTCCTGTATAAGCTGTTTGCAGCAAAAGCGATAGAAATATGAGAATTCAAAACAACAGCACAGACTGTTCCTGCTTCCTTCCCCCACTTTGCAGGGTGGTGTTGTTTCCACAGTCTCTGCTGTTACGTGTCTGTGCTGTGATGTCAGCTTTTAATGAACCACGTTAACAAGGGAAAGCTGTATAAATCTATCCTGGGAGTATCCTGGGGAGTTGACTGTTCTTGGCTCACAAAGAGAATCCAGATACATTAAGATTAATTTACAGACTTTGAAAAGAGATTAAAAGTGAGTGTCCAGATATTATAGTCAACTTTGAGTGAGTACATTAATATCTGCAACAGAGATCAATATCAGTGAAGATTTTATTATATATATATATTTTATATATTATATATTATATATCATCATTTTTTCTCCTTTGGTGTACACCAAGGGTCCACCTTAGGCCCTATTCTATTTTCATTATATATGCTTCCACTGCACTCAGTTCTTATAGAATCCAAGATACGTTTCCACTGCTCGGTCCTGAAAATTTTTCTAGAGGTCCATGTTTTGCCATTTGCTTCCGTCCTCAAATCTCTGCGCACATTTTAATTCCGTGCTTAAAAGACCAATGTTTAAAATTTGCAGGTAACGTTAACAGCTGTTGGGTAATGTGCTCTCTCCAAAGTGCTGACTGTACTCTGCCAAAGATTGTTTGTGAATGAAGAGACCAGATCTATCACTCTGTAACAACAGTATACGACCAAATACAGATATTGACTAACTGATCGTGAATGGAGCTTAATTCATGCTAATGTTGATTAATTTGGTAGCTACGACTAAAACCTGCAGAATTTTTTGCTCTGAGCTGATCACAGATCTAAACTTAATCTTCGAGTTGTTGTCATGTATAACTTTTGTTATTGCTAAACTTAATGAGATTTGAAATGACACTCATAAAGATTTAGATTTGATAAGAGTATCTGACACTGGGCTGGGATTTGATGAAATGCTGTTGAAACCCAAACTTAGTCATTAACAAAAGCTTTTGTCATGTCATATCAATAGGAAAGATAAAAGCTTTTCTTTCTGTCTTACATCCTTTTATTAACTACTGCAAGTCTCGTATGTGCGAGTCAGCACATCTCCCCTAGCTCGGCTGAAAGAAAAGTTTGTCAGTTTAAAAACAATACAATTAAATGATTTCACCTTTTTTTCATCAGTGCTGAATTTCAACCATACATTCCATTTAATATTGGTGTTTTTAAAAACTCATATATGCAGATAGTACTTCTCCCAGTTATGGATGTTTAATTTGAATACAAGTCCATATTTTTGGTTTTAATAAAATGTTTTAAAGCTCGCTGAAGATTAGCACCAGCCAACATCTCCAATCTCCTCAGTCCATATTCTAGATCCAGACCACCTTCACTTCTCTCCCATCTACACCTGTTGTTTTTAAATGTGCTCTGTAAATAAATTTGACTCGACTTCCAACAATTCATTAATGCATCTGCAAGACTGAAACAGGCCTAGTGTTTCTCACCAAATCAGGCATTCTGCTGTTATTATTCTATGAGCCAACTGAGCCTTGAGAGAAAAGATTGTCTGTGTTTATATTCCAGTTGGTGGAAAAGACACCGTGCTCACTATCTCACAGGCTCTTCCTGACTGAGAGTCTATGTTTCCATTTTCAATTGTGTTTTCTGTCTGGATAACGCTCCTGGAAAACAGAGCGTTGTGGTTATACAGTCCAGTTTCCTGATTCACATGTGACCGATACTCTGATTTTACAAGTCAAAAGGATGTGGAAGATGTTGATGTCCCTATATGAAAGTGTGTCTGGATATAAACCTTACTGGCCCAAATAAGGGTTGACTATGATTACAAGACAACCCATCCTTTTCTGTTCTGTTGGGAAAGTTTCCCTAAGATAAGACTTTCTCTGACTTTTCAAACTTTTGTCTTTTTGAGCTGATCATCTGTGATTCTTGGCTGTTTGACAGACTTTCTCCCGGGTTCATTTCTGTATGTTCTCACTTGTCATTCATTTATTTCCTTTGTTGCTGCAAAAACATGCCACACCAGCCTTCAGAAACACCTGCAGCTTGAACCGGACTAAACACTGACTGAGTGAAAGAATTTAAATGGACTAAAAACCCTCGCTAGCAACATTAACGCTGTACCATTATTCAACACTGTAAAAAAAAAATGTGTTAGATTCAAAAAGAATCTGATATCATGAACATGTAATTGTCTTGTCCTCGAATATAAGACAAGCCCCACCCAAAAATATTCTTATATTCAGCTTATATGAATTTGTGGCAGCCAACCTTTGTTAGGTAGTAGACAGACTGCTGAAAGGTGAACATGATGACTTCCTCCAGGACTGTCATGGCTTCCTCACAAGCTGTCCGAGTGAATGACATCTCAGAGTCCAACAGGCCTGACGAAACATATAAACAAGTCTTAACAACAGACACACACACACACACACACACACACACACACACACACACACACACACACACACACACACACACACACATACTGCAGGTCCACAAGCTGTGAGCGTGACAGATGTAACAACCACCTTCGTCCTCCTGGTCCTGCCTCCAGGGCAGCAGCTGAGGGACTTCGTGCTGGATGAAGTGCAGCAGTTCAATGGAGTTGGCCATCCACAGCACCAGCGGCTGCAGACCTGGGATCAGCTCCTCCATACTGAGCAGCTGAAGGTGATCGGGCTGCCCCTCACCAGAGCTCCTGATGTGAAAAGACAGAAGTTTAAGAGATCAGTGCTGAAACATGTTTACAAAAAGTTTGACTCAATCCTGTAAAAAATATGATGAAATATTTATACTTCACAGACATGACAGCAACTTTCCAAAACTTAGGAAGCCAGAGTTAATGCTTTTCCTACTGTAACAAGTAAAAACGTCTGCTGTGAAAAAGGGCTACTCTCTCTCTCTTTTTACTGCAGTGATTAGTTGATGAATCAATAAGTCAATTGACTGAAAGTTAATGAACAAGTCTGATAATCAATTAATTGTTTATGTCATTTTTCAGGCAATAATTTCTACCCTTATATGATATACAGTATATATATGATTGTAAACTGATAACCTTTAGTGATGGACTTTTCTCTGGACAAAATAAAGTATGCTGCTCCTTGATATTTAAAATAATTATTAGTTACATTTAGACACCTTACACTTGTATCCAAAAGTACATTCACATAACATTTATGTCCTGCGAATATTCACTCTGTCTCCCACTCACTTCTATTGAAGCCCATACAACAGCTAATTAAACTTTCCTCAAATAGACTGAACATAATCCAGTGATATTTTTTTAATGATAAAGTCAGTATTACTGAGCTCATGAGAAATCTCTCAGCTGGAAGTTGTTTTCTAAATAGAAGTAGTATAAACTGTGTTATTCCGTTTAGAGTTGCAGCGATTTATCAGTTACACAATTAATAATTTGATTTGGATAATCAACAAATAATTTTTTACATTCATTTTTTAAGGAAAAATGCCCAGCATTTGATGGTGCCATCTTCTCAGATGGTAGGATTTGATATTTGTCTTGTATGAGAGACATTTATGGACAAAAGCAACGTAATTAGATCAATTGATGATGAAAATTATTTTCAGTTGCAGCTTTAATGTTGTTTTGCTCCACCAGTCAAACTGTGAAGACAGTCTCATTTCAAACATTTTTCACAGACATTTATAAGGTCTAAAGGGCTTTTCAGTTCCTGTTATAAGACCGCAGATATTGAAGCCCACACACTGGACTCTAATTGAACCTGCTGAGTAACAAAAAAAGCAGCCCTGTGATCATGAGAAAACTCTCAGCTGCTTCTACTTTGTGAGAGGGGAAATTCTGTCTTTGCACAAACTGCATCAGTGTAAATCAGACTCTAATTCCTCTTTTATTCAAACAGTAAACCTCAGGTGTTGGGTGTCATATATCATCGCAGGCAATGGCTGCTCATTGTCATGTATTTCTGGGGCACTCTGAAAACACTTAAAGTTTGTCTACTCACGTTTCTGGCTGGATCGCTGCAAGTTCCTTTGTCTTCTCCTGAGAAGGAGAACACATACAGAATATATCCATTTCATACGAGCATTACCAGCCAACATCAACCATATATTCAACTCTGATGACATATTTGATTACTTTTACATTCTTAGTCACACTCAGGGGAACATAGAGCTGAAAACACACAGATAAACACTTGATATTCACTTGCACAAAGGGTCAATTATCTGATGGCAGAAAGAAAGAGCAGAGACTCATCCTTACCCACATGATGAGCTGGATCTGGCTGGCTATCCGGAGCAGCAGCTGTCTGAAGTGTGTCAGCTCGAACGTGGAGGCTGAGTGCTGGATACAGAGGCTCAGCAGGAAAGCAGGTGTCAGCTTTGGTTCATTCCCACTGGGGTCCAACATGTCCAAAATCTCCTGCAGTACTCTTTCCTCCTGCTCCAGCTCATAGCTTACCAAAGCCTCTGTGCCTTCCAGGTCCCTCCAACGAGGAGGTAAAGGCTTCCTCTGGAACCTTTTCATGGCAATAGAGGAGCCACATGATAAACAAGAGGATGACATTTTTGTATCAGAGTTTGGGCAGAGTCTGGTCATCCAATGAGGCGTCTGTGGGGACCCTGATGTGCTGGTAGGATCCTTAAACATGAACAGGTAGTGTTTCCCCAAACCCACCAAGTCCCCAGGGTTCAGCTCCACCTCCTCTTTAAGGAGAAAACCATTTCTCGTCACAGGAGCCCCATGGAGGGGCTTCAGCATTGTCAGTGTCTTTTTGTGCTCTCCTGTGGAGCTTTGGTTGTGAGAGTCCAAGCGTCTGACACAGCAGTGTTGAGGCAACACGTCAGGAGCAAAGAGAAGGATGTCGACCTTTAACCTCTCCTCATCCTCACCATTACAGTGTTCTCTACAGCAGCCAAAGATGGTGGTCGTCCCACTCATCAAGTAGATGACAAAGTCCTGAAAAAACATTGTTTTTAATGAATTATTTTTCCTTTGAATATGCTTTAAAAAATTACTTCTGCAACTAACAATTTCCGCATTATTTTCACAATTAATCGATTAATCGTTTGGTTTAAAAAGCAGTGATAAATGGACATCACAATATCCTACAACAACAGTGACATCATTAAATGTCTTGTTTTGTCCAATCAGCATTTCAAAACCTAAAAATATTCAATTTACCATGTAAAACAGCAGATTCTCAAATTTGAGAAGGTGGAAACATAATTTTTTTTAAATTAAACTAAACGAGTAATCAGTTATCAAAATAGTTGGCAATTTTCCTTTCATTTTTCTCTTAATTGATTGATTATCTGGTCTACAAAATGCCAGAAATTGGTGTCGCAATTTCCTATTTTCCACCTTCAAATGTTTCATTTTGATCAATCAGTTCCCCAAACTCCAAAGATATTCAGTTTAATATCACATAAAACCGCAAATGATCAAACTGAGAACCTGGAACAAAGTAATCTTAGCACTTGAATATCATAATTTCCAAGAGCCAAACTCACATCTTCAAGTTTTTTGTTTTGTCCAACTACCAGTCAGAAAACCAGAGACAATTATTTTATTATAAGAAAAGAAAAGCAACAAAGAAGTTGGAACCATGAAATTTCACCAATGCTGCTTGAAAAAGTTAAAATCAATCAATTTTAATCAATGATAAAAACAGCTGCAGATTAATTTTGTAGACAGTCAGTGTGTAGGACGAGACATTTTGGAAACGAGCCAGCAGAGTGCATGTGAACATCAGCAGGATCAGCTGGTGTTAAGTACAGCCTGCACAGGCAGTGCGAGGTGAGACAGGAATGGAAGGGCTTAAGAGTGAGACGTCGGTGATGTCCGTGACCTCAGGGTCATTGCAGTAAGACTATTAGTCAGACGACGATACTGTATTCACCCTGCTGGTCAGAACCAAGCAGCCTTAGAGGCCTATGCTAAGTAAGGTAACAGCAGCTGTAATGTGAGGACAGTGCTACTACTCTGTGTTATATTCCAGAATACAAAGGTGGGTTAGAGAAATGTCATAGGCCAGTAGATATTGTTTGCTACTTATGCCACTTCCTCTTCATTACACTTGCACAGTCTAATCCAATACAACTCTTCTGCCGTAGAGTCGACTTTTATGATGCCTGTAATGTTCAGTTTTTGTTGACACTGTCAGAGAGGTATAAATTGGATTAAATGCTTTAGCACTGAGGTTGGAATTAGTGATGGTGTTTCACTGGACTGCATTACATTCATCTGTGTCCTCATGTAATTAGAAACACCTCTCAGTGTGATTAATTGATAAGAAAAAACACCATTGGTTGCATCCCAAATTAGTTTTTTGGTTCCACCAGTCAATCTGTGATATCACAGTGTCTCAAACACACTTTTAAGGTCTGGATGGATGAAAGCTTTGATTTCCTGTTATATGACCACTGCACCACAGACGCGCCTCGTTCCTTTGCTTTCGCTCTGGGTCGACCTATTGTTGCAGGGCAAGATTACGCCTGCTGTGGAGCTACCAGTATCCTGCACAGTCAGCAATCTCCATGAACAACATTGAGGGAAAGCACTTCCTGTTCCTGCGACGGCCACGGCCCGACTCTCTGTGCTTACTGTAAAAAACGAGCAAATGATTCAAACTGCATCTCACATCTACAGGGACGTGCGTTGGAGGTGATAGTTTTTGAGGTTATGTTTCAAATGAGGCATCGTTTAAAATCCTGGTATGTAGATTACAGCACACCAGTTGAAGTGTTCCCTCCCCCACCCGCACCCCAGCTGACTGTGTGTATACAGTGTACTCTAAGAATAGCTTCTGTGTAGTTTATCCTCCTCTGCAGTGTGTCTTTAATCAGGGTTATCTCTTTTTTTTTCAACGTCCTGAGCAGGTTTCCTTCTGACTGAATGGTGAACACTCTGTTCCTTGTCCTTTCATTGGGACATGATGACAGACATCTCGTCCTGTGTGGCAGTCCGCGTTGAGTAAAGAGTCACTTCTTTTTCTTTTGTGGGCCTGCGTAGGACTTACAGGTCCTGCAGTCCACTTCACGAGCCCGTCTGAGTGTTTGCCTGTTATAACAAAGGCGACCAAAGCTCTCCTCTGTGACTCTGGGATTTTGTCCTTGAGAATGAAGTAACAGCTGTTTGAATGATAAGTCCTTTCTTCTCTCTTATTCTTTGTGAACAGTGACTGTAAATTGTTTCCCCAGTACTGTTGTTGTACTGATGGATACAATAATACAGAAGGATATATTACATTCTGGGGCTTTTTCTAGTGATAACTACTCATTTATACCTTATTTTCCATAGATTATTAATAATTATACTTAAACCTTTTATCCCTCCTCTGTCTCTTACCTGTCTGTGGCTGTAGCCCTGCAGCAGGAGGAAGTAAGGGAAGTCGAAGGGTGGGTGAATGGAGTACTGGGTGGTGTTGTCGTCACTGCTCTCCGTCTCCTCCTTCTCCATGCCGAGTCGCAGCACCTCCTTGTCAGCCTCGGCCTCGGGATCCTCTCTGAGCGCGCTCTGTTGGGCCCGGCTGGCCTCCTTCCCCATAGCAGACAGATCCATCTCGCTCAAACTCCTCCAGATCCCGAGTCCGTCCACATCCTCCCCGCTGCCGTCCACAAACAGAGAGGTCACTCTGGAGCGGCTCTTCTGCAGCTTACGAGCCTGAGCATTGATGCCTGGATTGACCAGAAGACAGTGTGTTATGACTATGTCGTAACTGAGTGGTGTCTATTAAAAATCCATACTATTTATAATATGAAAAATGAACTGTTGCATGTTCGTGATAATACAGTCTAGACCAGTGTTTTTCAAACTGAGGCACCTCCCCTGAGGGGAGAAGCTTATTATTGCAGTTTGTACCACAGTCAATACAATCTGTAATTGGAACAGCAGCAGTGGCTGTGACACACAGCTCATTGGAGTGATAAAGGTACTTTAAAACACTCTCTGATGATATCATTATCTCTGAATAAACATCCATTAATCCACTTAGAAATCAAAGAAAACAGATGCTCCTTTATACTCCAGAACTTGCCTGAGAATAATCACGTGTTTAAGTTTACTTTAGCATCAAAATAAGACAGTGATAGTTGTCTGTACATGAGTACACTGCAAATAGGAACTGCTAATGGACAATTCAGCATACTTAGAGGTGCCAATTTACCAAAATGTAAACAAATATCCACTAAGAAAAAACTGGGCTAAAGCTGTAGCCCACAGGAGAACTCACTGAATCCACGGCCACATTATACTTAGTGTTAACATCTGCCAAATTATGGGGAAAATTAGAGAACAATTATTCCCTAAATTTAACACGAAAATTTACGACAAAATCTGCTAGTGTTAACTTTTTTCATGTTGCACTATCAATTTTTTGACCATACTAATCAACATGCTTCTGATATTCTTATACAGATATTTCTCTCTGTTAAAAACCTGTGAAGATACAGACAAAAACCTGAATTTGTGGCTAAACCCCGCTGTTTAAGGCCTGTAGTCCCAATGTTTGGCTACTGATGTCAAAAAAGAAAACAAAGCAAAAAAAAAAAAAAAAAAAAAAAAACACCAGAAAGAGGCACTTAAGGCCAGAGACATCAAAAATAAAGATTTCTGTAGATTGCCACTTTAATTGAGGGTGAGATAATGTTTTTAAGTAAAAATAAATGTAGCTAAATGACCAACCAAAAAATTAACAATGACTAAAATCCCCCCTGAAATCACTCTGGTCAATCTAAAGTGACTCCCACATAACAGTTCACTGCACTGGCACCAACTCAAATGAAACATAACCAGAGGAAAGAGAGGAAATGTGCAGGGAAAGTGAGATGTGGCCACCTCTATCTGATACCAACAGCCACTCTGTCGACCTGACGTAACACAAACACTATTCAGCTCATTTGGAGCCTCTAAGTACCGTGGAATGTCCACAGAGCCCGGCTTCACACCCACAGCTCTGCCGCTCTTATCAGCTGTGGAAATGGGTGTTTTCCACATTGTTCAGCACCAGTGTGACACACCGGGCTCGGTGCCTAAAAGACCCATGGAGGTAAAGGGCAGTTTCCCCCCTGGTCAGTGACAGGAGGAGGAGGGTGGAGCGAGGCTTTTGAAGACTGATATTTTCCAGCTGCAGTCGATGATGACTGATATTCTTTAAATTTGAACATTGTTATGTCTTTTGTTTTTAAGTTGTCAGTGTTTTCTTTTATAATTTCATTCTTCTGATGGTAGGGGAATGAGAAGATCTATATCACTCTTCAAGGAGCTAAATGTAAGTTTTGCTATTGCTACATAGCCAGTGTTAGCATTAACAGCTGTTTACTTACCAGACTACACTTTCCAATACTGAGTCACTGCCACCTCCGGTCTGCCCTGAGGAAGTAGCTGCTCAGAGGACGTATTATAACTTCTTGTCTTGTAAACGTAACGGTAGCTGAAGCTCTTGGCAACACTCATAAGTAAACAGCCAGTAATGCTGAGATTGGCTATGTAGCAATACCAAAGCTTCCAATTAGTTTGTTTTAGAGTGATATTGATCTTCTTATTTAACTCTCAACAAGAAAGCAAATAATTAAAACTAAGCCTAATTAAATACCTTTTTGTGCCACAGTACCTATAACAAAAACACTGGTAATACATGAGGTTCTTAAATGTATGGAATATGGTATTTCCAATATAAACTCAAATAATCAGATATAATCATATATATATATATATATATATATATATGTGTATAGTTTGTGTAAATTATGAGTTTTGGGGATGTGAATGACATGAACTTTAACATGAGAAATTTGAAGATTGATTGTTCAACTAGTGTAAGTCAAACATGTGTTTAAACGTATAGGTAAACCCACCCATCACTATACTCCTGGTTTACATGTACAATTAACTCCAAAATCATAAATGAACGTAAATTTAAATTCCATTGATTACATGCAGCTGCAATCAGGACGAAGCTCCAATATTTCAGCAGAACCGAGAACAATATTTACTAAAAGCCAGTATCAGCAGAGGGGTACATTGGTCTAATGCAGAAGAGAACCACAACAAACTTGTTCCAAAGTCAACAGGGCTGCTCAGTCCCCAGTGTGCAGGAAGTGAGCTCTGACAGAAAGAATAACACAAAAGTAAGCGTCCACTTTCTGGCAGCTACGGGCTCGGTGGGAAGAGCTGCTTCACGGGGCCATGATGGGCCCTTGCAATAAAACAAAGATAAGAGTGGGGCCACACTGACCTCCTCTATCCCTCAGTGCGGCTTTTGTTTCCTCCTGACCTCTCTCACATGCCTGCCATCCTCCTCTAGCTGGTGATAAGCTGGACAATGAAGGCTGATAGCCTGCAATAAGAGACAAGGATAAAGGCTCCCCATGCCACCACAACAGAGACTGAGTGATTGATTACCCAGGCGTAAGGATGTTAGGGTTGCTGACATGTATCTACATTACTGAAAATGGTCAGATGTGTGCTTTTAAAAGAGAGAGGGTCCCTGAAGAAGATAATTCCAAGGGATGAAAGCTGGACCTAAAGTATGAAGGTGTTAGCAGACTTGTACCTGCTGTGACTGTGTCTCTGTCCTTTAAACTCTGCTCTTCAACGCTTGCTCTCAGCTGGATTTCAAAACGCCTGGAGAAGCCTTCCTTGGGTTTCCAAAGCGACTGTAGCATCAGGGGCTTCTCGTTGTCTCCCACCACCCGAAAACACTCCCTCTTCCACTGGTTATCTCCACCCATCTGTCCAATCACGTCGCAGAGCACATAGTCATTGGGGTCCTCTTTTTCCAGACAGTACCTGAACAATAGCAGAAGAAATTCAGTCAGGAAGATAATTGGGGGGCAATGGAAGGTAAATGCTGTTTTAGGTCAGGATAACTATTATACTTAATTTCCAAGTTTTCATTTTTTTTACTGAAATAGTTCAACAACTACTGGATAAAACACCATGAAAATATGTACAGACATTTAAACATGTGATTTGAGATGATCCAGTACACATCTGTTCAGGTTAAAGAGTTTTTCCAAAAATGTTAAAGCACCTTCTGAAATCTAAAATACACCAGTTCAATATTGAAAGCCTTTACCTCTCCAAGGCTTCTTTCACCAGTTCCTTTGCGTTGGACTGAGTGGTGGCCAGCACGCTCTTGTAGTTGGTCCCCTGACAGATATCGCTGCCGAAGATCTTCAGGATGCCAGGGACAGACATTTGGCTGGACAGCTCGGCCGGGTCGTCTGCAGCCTGGAGATCCCCGGCCAGGCTCCTACTGCCCTGTGCCTGGCCCCGGCGTCCACTGTCCCGCAGGTTGGGGCTGTGGTTGAAAACAGTGGAAAGCCTGTTGTTGTGGCGGCGGATTTTGCTCTTGGCTGGCTGCCGAACACCCACGCTCTCTGAGGACCGCACAGTGGTGTCCGAGTTGTTGGACCTGAGAGGGTACAGAGCAGAGGATAATGGATACTGTTAGGTGACAAACTTTAAATGTACACAATGAAATAATAAGCAACCCTGCACATGCATCATGTGCTGCTTCTGTGCATCCAGAAGTATTTGACTGTAGACAAATTTAAGGCCGCAATTAACGATTATTTTGATTATTGATTATTATCTTGATTAATAAATCAGTCGTTTGACCTGTAAAACGTCACAGCAGTGAAAAATGCTTGTGAATGTCAATGAAAAACTTTGTAGAGCTCAAAGAAACATCATCAAATGCTTTAATCAGGCAGCAGTTCATAACCCAAACATAACCAGTCTACTATATTGTCAGACAGGGAAAAGAGGCCAATTCTCCCATGTCATCTCCCTGAAACCAACAAAATGTTAGTGTTCTTGCTAGAAAAATGATGAGTTAGTCTCTATCTTTGGGTTTTGGACTGTTGATCAGACAAAACAAGACATCTGAAGAAGACATCACCTTGGGCTGTGGGAAATTAAAACACCCATTTTTCAGTATGTAAACTAGGGCTGCTACTAATGATTTTTGTCATGGATTTATCTGTAGCTTTCTTTGCTCATTAATCAATTAATCATTTTGTCAGAAAATCATGAAAAGGGGTTGGCATAATGTACCACAGCTCAAGATGATGCATTCAAAATTCAGTTTATTGTCATATGTGACAAACAGCATCAAATCCCTACATTGAAATGCTGAAACTAAAATATGTTCAGTTCTGAAAAATGAAAAAAGTAGTTGCAGATTCATTTTTTGTCAACTATCCACTTCATTAATAGACTCCTGGCACTTCTCTATTTCAATCAATAGGCTACATCATGTTTTGTAAGATCATCGCATATTTTTAATGTAAAATCTAATATCAGCAATCGTACTTCACCACTGATTACAGCTTCACTATATTGTATTTTATATATTGTATTTTACGTTGTTGCTTATAAATACTAAATGGAAGGGTTAAAATAAGGACTTACTGGACAGATCCATTGCTGGGTTTCCTCCCCAGTTTGGCCAGTCGCCTCTTCGGAGAGCGGATCAGTAAACCCACAGGGAAATTCAGGGCTTGTTTATTTACGTGGCTGCTTCTCTCCTCAGAAATCATAATTGTTTTTAATTTCACATAAACACAACCAAACTATTAAAACGGCTGAGATTAGCAGAAAATAGCATTCTTTGCCGCTAGCTAGCTTTTAGTTGGATGATGAAAACTTTTCGGGACAACAGTAGTCCACCTCCACTTCCAGAAAAAAAACTTCAAAAATCACAAAAAGGTGTTTAATTACTCCAACGGTGTCTTCATATCCATTAAAATAATAGGTTTGAAAGTTATTTAAAATGTTTTGAGAGCTCGAGATGAACTAACGTTACATTCCCACACAAGTAAACGCCAGTCGGTCGGTTTAAACTCCCAAATGAGTTTCAGAGATAAAATCCAAACTGAAATGCATGTCCAGTAGAAAAGGAAGAAATGGAGACTTGTTCATACGCCGTAAGTCCGTCCCTGACTGCAAAATAAGTGGAAAAAACAGCCCGGTCCATCATTTAAAAAAAAAGTGAAATCCGTTATCTCTGTCGGGGAGCGGGCAGCGGACTGAATGAAAGAGAACCTGTCCTGCTCTCGAGCTACTACGGCTGACGTCATGCAGCTACACGCGCTTGGTCAGAGAAGAGGCGGGACAACACACACCAACACGCACACACCAACACACACACACACACACACACACACACACACACACACACACACACACACACACACACACACACACAAAAATAGAGGATCCAGGGCCGAGCCAAGACTTTCTGGGGCCCATGTAGCAACAACCTACCTCCTTAAAAATTTAAAATTAAATTTAAAGGGCAAGCAGTGAATGCAATGATGTTTTTTTCCATATTCTCATTTGGCGCATTGAGTGTGATAAGAACTACCCAGAAGCCATCTTTTGGAAAAAATTTATTTGACATGTAGGATTTTTTTAGTTTGGCCCATGTTTCATCCACTAATGTGGAGGAGGTGAGGTTTATGGCTTTTACTGCAGCCAGCAGTCAGGGACTAAGATGTTTTGGTTTCACTTTTAGGGAGCTGTGATTTTATCCACCTTTACATACAGTCATTGTACATAACACAGAAACACAGAACTCTTCAGATAATGTAACAAACCTAAATAGTTTTATTTTGTGGCTACCAGTCTTAATTATTGTTTCCATTCTTTATCAAATTAGGGCCATGCACAAAAATATTAATCTCAAATGAGAAGAGATAATTAGATCATTTCCATCTGTAGTTCCTGAGCAGGTAAACACAAAGCAATCACCAGACACTAAAACCATTCATTTACATGCACATGTTAACATATAAATATCAGCATATTCATCTAGTACAACTATAAAAACTATATTACATTCACCAATCAAACTTCTGAAAACAGAATGAGATTTTCAAAATTTAAGAGGTTGTATCTGGACATGAGGTTATACTGATTGTAATTTAATGATTTCCTATCAAAAACCTTTAGCAGCGTGTTTAAAAAGGATTTTTTTTTTTTTAAGATGTGATTTTTGGATGCTTCTATGCCTTTTCTCTTTTAGATGTCTTTCAAAAATCAAAATGTAATAGTACCGAAATATTTAATCATATTTGATTATTTGTCCATTAATATTAACCTGTGGATACATGATTTGTGTTTGTTTATTAGCAGAAATCATGATCTTTCAGTTGTTTTGGCCTTGGTTGTTGTTATTATGGAGAAGACACTAGTCAGAATGAATCAGAGTGGTGGGGAATTCAAATCACTTTGTCAGTGCAGCTGTTAACTAAATGTGGTGCCATAGCCACCAAATTGTATCAAAAGTGATTCAAAATTTAAAAGTGAATTGAATTAAGTGTATGATTTTAAGATCATGTTTTCAGTTTCCTCAAGAGCATAATGGCTGTGAGCAGCTCATGTGACAGCATTTTAAGATAGGTGATTGGATCTTTCTTGCAGAAATGCACCTTGGGAGTCATAGATAGCTTCTCCCTACAACTTGATGTAGACAAACTTGTACCTTTGACTTTTATCAAAGACCCATTTGTTTTCTAAAGCAGTCTCTTCCAGTGGTTTCAGAAGTCCTAACCATAGCCACAGCCACTGCTTATAATTTGGTTATGTTGTCTTGTTCATGCAGCATTACAACAGCATGTCAATTCTGCTTTAAATTCCCCATTTAGCCAAAACATTTAGGGTTAAAACACCTGAGGCTGCATATCACAATGTCATCTCCCGTCATCTTGGCCTTTACTGGAGAATAAGTGAGAAGGCTTATAGTTCAGCTCTTGTGATTACAAAAATTCATATAATAAATCCTGATGATTACTGGATGCACATAGCCCAAAATAAAACAGAAGAGAAAAACAAAACAAGGAAAAAATCATGAATGGATGAATGTAGAACAGAAGATGTAAGCGCGGATCTGAGTTATTTCCTCATTTTTAGAAAAGATAAAGTTATTATAATTATTTGTCTACTGGTAAGAGGAAGGAGAAAAGGTCATGCAGAATGTCAATGCAATTGCAGCAGAAACATGAAGCTATGATGTTATTTGTACACAAAAAAAAATTCTCTTAAACAGCTTCAACTGACTGCTTTTAGTGTATTAAATATGTGTTTTGGGTTCATTTACATATATACAATTACAACAGACAAAAAATCTTGTATCATATTATGAAAGCATTTTGGCCTACCACTGCTTTAAGTTACAGTTGTCAGTTAGTAGGATGTCACAAAAACATAAACAGTTTCTATGAAATTTGGTGGAAAGTATTACCATGGCTAAAGCAAGGAAAGTTAGGGGTTTATTTTAAAGAATTTCTTAACATGAGATAGAGACATTTTGGAACATTTTCTCATGGACCAAAAAAAGGAAGCACTTAAGCGTGTAAATTAATAAAAAAAAGGTATTCTTTGAACTTTCATCACTGTATATTTTGATACAGACCAAGACGCAGATTGAAATATCTGAACATTTTTTATTGCTAAACTAATGAATGTGCTTTCAAATTTTATTTTTTATAAAATAGATAATAAGCCCTGAGGCTTCAGTCCCTCAACTGAGGTTAATTTGTGCATGTGTGCATCAAACGCTCCATCTAGTGGCAGTAACCTTGAATTACCATATATAAGAAACATGACATTAAAGGTAACATCGTTGAGTGTACGATGCACACTAGCACTTGTATAGCAACACATATGAAATGCTAGTAGTTTTACTGACAGCTATGTACTGAAATACAATACTATGCTAATGTTTATGAAAACAGATTAAAAATGTGACCTATTGAAGCATCAACTGACAGAAGTGTGATGTTGAAAAGTACTCAAGAAGACAGTGGACTTTATATGTATTTTTTCTAATATGTCAAAGGGATAGACAAGCGACCTGTCCAGAGTGTACCCCACCTCTCGTCCAATGTCACCTGGGATTGGCTCCAGGTGAGCTCCTGGGATTGGCTCCAGGTGACATTGCTACAAATGCTACATAAACATTAGTGCATCAGTATTAAAGGATCTGAGTCCACAGCTGCTTGTTTAGCAGTACCACAATAATACATATAAAAGCAACAGGAAATTCTATATCTTGTAATGCCATATCAGCACTCACACCTAAATGAATAAGTTAATACATTAAGTGTTAGCCACCACCAACACTTGCAGTATCTCTGCAGTATTACTACTCTCTATCACATACACATGCACAGACACAGACACACACATACGGTTATGTAGTCTTTTGTGGTATTGAGCAAGAGGCTTAGAGGCGGATGTGTGTGAGCTCCACCTGCAGCTGCTCTGCACAATGAGTGGTTTGGAGATGGCAAGATTCAGGTCAGACACACATCGTGACACTATTCAGCAAACGGCCTGTTTCTGCTGTTTGACTGTGACTCCCTGGGTTCAGCGCAGTATCCATTCAGTGTAGTTATTATCTGTGCTGTTTTTTTCTCTCACATGACTTTTTGGGAATGAATGGATCTTTCTGAAAGAAGAAAACTAACTTAGGTTTGTTTTGGCTATTGGTTTTAATGTCATAAAACAACCAACACATGACAGACTGCAAATATTCATCACAATCAAACAGAAAATACAGATTCAATCAAACATGAATATGCAAAAAGAAACAACGTAAATCATTCACAGAAAAGATCACTTTTTTTCTATAGTGGCTCCTGTCGTGGTCTTCCTTTCCTGTATAATTTACTGCATGTTTTCATGTTTTATAAATTACATTGTCATTGTATTAATACCCTTAGCAAGACCATCTTTGAAATTAAATACAATCAGGAACATAACTGTAACAACAACCATAAGATAAATGTTAGGGAATGGAACTTACAATACTTACCTTTGAAATATGAGAATAAATATATAAAACATGCCTATTTTCATCTTTAACGCAATTTCATTGATATCTTTACCTTTGAATTGCTGAATGAAAACTATGCTGACAACAGCACAAAAATCCATCACAAATTTTTCATCGGGACGTAAAAGCATTTATGTGTGTTTATAGGATGAACATAACATGAGTCCAGATACTTTAATACTTCAAGTGCTTTTGAATTCATTATTGGCTACACTGTATTCTTCAAATTCCTTGATTCATTTCTGAAATTAATTCTGAGAAAAGCCAAATTTCTACATGCAATTCAGTAATTTGTTCTAGCTCAGACCAAAAAAACACAATTTGCATATTCATAAGTAAAACATGCCAGTTTTCCCAGGATGCTATAAAGTGCTACAGTATTAACAAAATACATCAAACATTGATTCACATGCTGCATTTACATGTTGATTATTGCCGAGTGGAGCAATATTGATTGACACTAAATAACATTTCCATGAAGCAATCAAGCACTCAAGGTAATTTGATATCCTGTCACGCACAATAGCGCTCCATCAAGATAATGTTCATTGACTGGTGGCAAAATGTCAACGCTGCCATGTGTTATGATAACACAGCAAACTTCCTGAGATGAATAGCTAATCACAATACAGCTATTTGATTAAACATGCAATGAACACTATTAACACTTTGTGTTTAGCAAATACCAGAATGATGTTGTGTTTATTAAACCACATTTCCATATTTTGACCAGCAGCCATGATGATGTTGAGATAAGCAACACTATATATTTGAAAAGTCAGTCAAAACTGAAGGAATAGTAAAAAAGTGCAGACTTTTGATCAGAAAACAATAGAAAAGGGGAAATGGGGATTTTTTTTTTTTTTTGGCCTTTTTTCCTACATACAGCGGGTTACCTTTACTTCTCTGACCCTGCTGGTATCTTGACCAAATGATGCAAAAGTTCAACAACCCCAATAATCACTGGATTACCTCATTTAGTGTTTTGATCCAATTGGTCATGGGTCCAAAATCTCCCATGAGAGTTCAGCTGGGTTGAGATCTGGTGACTGTGAAGGCCATATCTGCTTAATTGCATGCAGTGCCTGTGTGGATGCATCTGCATTTGTCATGTTTCTCCACTCATTTAGTCAGGTTTTTCCTTTGATCTATGTCCTGTCTGTATTGCTAACCCCCACCAATTATCTCTGCTATGCCTAATGCTAACCTAAGACCTTACTCCAACCACAGGTGGGGACACTACAGCTAATACCACTTTAATAAGAGTGAAACACTCGAGGACTCAGCAAGTGTTATATCGACTTTGCCATAGCATCCATTCTTCCTGGTAATGTCCAATCCTGTGTCAGTACACGTATGAAAATGGGTACAACAGCAACAATTGGCTAATGGCCATGCCTACACTTTTATTTGATTGGTTGTAGAAATACAAAAATGTATCTTATTACCTAGCAACTGCCATGTGCATCCACAGGATTGAGGCAGGTGCTATCTAGCGTTGGTAAAAAAAAAAACAAAAAAACATTGAAATTTAAAAAATTTATTTAAAAAAAAAAATAGTCTTGAGTGTCAAGGTTTTTCACCCATCACAGTTGCCAACCCTAAATCTAATACCTACAAAAACCAAAAGTGAGTCAAATAATTTCACAAAACATACAAACAACCTAGACTACCCAAAAATTACATGTTATGCCATTAACATTTGACTAAATATGCAAAGTGCAAGTTTCGCTATAGGTGTTAGCATAATCAGATCCTGTGCAGTGGACTGAATAGTTCTTTTCATACAGATGGTAGAGTCGTAATTACGGTAATTACAGTAACGGAAGTATTTTTAAATGATTTCAAACACTTCTGCAAGCTGAGGACTAACGAGAGGCACAAACTCTCATTAGCCTCTCTCGCTAACAGGGCTGTTTCCCTTTCCAAGAGTTTTTTTGCTCACCTAAGCTGGTTGTAGCTTTATATTGAACAAATAATATAAGAGTGGTATCAATATTGTCATAACCTAACAATAAAGTGAACAAATGTCGAAATACTCAGAAACGTATAATAAATTGTTGCAACTTGTTGCTTAGTTTTATTTTGAAAATACGGACGGAAGTGACATTTCATACTGTGTGTAGTTGACACTTTGAAGAAATGCGGTTCTATTCAGGCATCAACATCAGAGCAGAGACTCGGGGCGCGCACATCTTCCGTCTTCATGTGCCTTCATCAAGTTAACAGAGCAGCAAAACCAGTATTCACCTAAAATCGGGACTCTTATTTGTTTGTGCTAACAGTTTTGGACTCATAAATATGCTGCTGTGTTCACACCAAGGAGGGAGAAGAGGTCAGCCTTAGATTAAACTTCACACAAGCTCAGCTCCGCTCCAGAGAAGAGGAAAGGTAAGCTGAAGACCGCTTTAATATCAGGAAACTTTAGAGAAATCACGCACCAAACTTCGCTTCAAAAATGAATTATTCTAGTGACCACTGAGCTCTCTTCCTCTTTCTCTTTCTATCTATTTCTCACTTCTCTCTTGTTCATGCTCATGTTACAGATTTACAGTAATTTATTACAATATATGACATTTTTAAAAACTGAATTAATTTCTGATAAAAAAGCCTCTTCTGCCAGTAACACAACTAACATGTTAATTTGAATTTTTGAGTGAACTATAACTGGTTGATTAGGGCTGCACTTCAGTCAGGCTGAAATACAGGAAAGACAGGTCAAATTTTGATTTCTGAAGCATTTTTTTGTTGTTTCTATGTATATTTACTGGATCTTTTCTGCTTACTTGTTTATTCATCCGTTGCATGTTTTTACTCCCTTACTTTGGGGAAGTGGTTTTAAAAGCTGTTGTTAGTGTAAAAGAGATAAGGTTAACAGAGGTCATAACTGCAAAAAAACATTTTACAACTTCATAAGTTCAGAGTATATATGCATGTACTGTCATTTTAGCGTGTATCAGTTACGATCCCTCTACATGTCTGTCACCAGAGAGGTCAGACATCAGGGTAAGAGGTCAATGGCCTGATTGATCTCTGATGCCAGAGCTGAATGACCTCATGTCAAGACATCCTCCGCTGCAAACATGTTACACGCCCTTCTGCACCCTGTGGTCAAGTTTCAGCTGCTTGACGAGAGCGCTGAGGGATGAGTCGACTGTCATATATCACAATAAGACATTAAATTCTGACATTTCAAGTTTTCAGTTACTTATCTGTTAATTGACTAATCGATAAATTGACTAATCATTGCAGCTCCAGTCACAATAGTAGCTCCATGTGGTGTTTAATACTGAACCTGACCCAGTGCTGGAAAGTAAATAAGTACATTTATTCAAGTACTATCCTGGACTTACTCTTTTTACAATTCTCTTACTTTCTACTTCTACTCCACTAGAGTTCAGAGAGAAATATTCAACTTCTTCTGCACTGCATTTATTTGTAGTATGGTTCCTTCTTGTTAAATATTAAACCTTTTTATCTTGTGATACATTACAAATAAAGAGCAGTGGCTGAAGGGGTGCTGAGATCTGTAAAAGTACCAATACCACAGTGTACAAACAAATGTCCCACATTCAAAATTCTTAAGTAAAGTAAGTATTACTAGCAAAATGTATTTAAAGTGTTCATTATGCAGAATAACGCCTTCCAGAGTGTAAAATTATGTAACCCACAAATTCCAGAAATATTAGATTTTATATTCTGTTCTACACGCACAAACTAAAAAATTAAGATAAAAAAAGTTATTTTTTTTTTAAGGGAAAAACACATTATTCTGTTAGCACGTATCGTTCTTCACTAGAACATGGTGACCTCAAAGCATACTGTTGCACAGCTCCAGCATTAGCAGCTCCAATGATTCACATGACTGAAAACAGCTGTGTGGATATGCAGGGCCTTTAATCTTTAACAATGCATTTTATTTTATAAGTTTATCATATGTTTTGTATGTAAAATCAAAGTAAATAGTAACTATGACTGTTAAATAAATGCAGTGCAGTAAAAATTACAATCTTTCCTCCTGGAATATAGTGCATAAAATGGAAATACTTAAGTGAGGTCCCTCAAAATGGTACAGTAAGGGTTGTGAGAGATGAGCCACAAAGTCACAACAGTAGCTCCATGTGGACTTCATCTGATCCAGTGATGAAGTACATTTAATCAAGTACTGCACTTAATTTGAAGTACTTGTACTTTACATGTATTTCCATTTTATACCACTGTATACGTTCACCTCTCTACATTTCAGAAGCAAATATTGTAGTTTTTACTCCACTACATTTATCTGGCAGTTGTAGTTACTACTAGTACTTTTCTGGTTAAATTTGATATTAGTAAACATGCTGTATGATAAATGTGTAAAGTACTAGAGTACAAGATTAAACAGCTGAAACATTTAGTTGATAAAGCGAAAAATAACAAGTAACCAGCTTTTCAAATGTGCTAATCGATGTCCAGTAAATACAGTATGTGTAATAAGTCATTTGAAGACGTCACCTTGGGCCCTGAGAATCTGCGATTAGCATCTTTTTTAGTCCTTTTTGGGATTCCATAAACTAAATGAAAACATAATCTGCAAATGAATCAATGAAAAAAATCAATATTTCTAGCTACAGAAAAAATTGTGTCCAATTGTGGCCCCTCGTGATGTTTCAGATTTCTGTTAGTTGTTGGGAGGTCCATCAGAGAGACATTTCTCCTCTAAACTTCTCACATAGTTTCATAAAATTATCCGTTATTTATCAATTAAAACAAGATATGTTTGTGTGAAATATGGAGATTAGATAAAGTATCAGAACTATTTTTTCCTTTTTCTCTCCCAGTAATCATCTCATGACCCCTGAGATTTATCTTGTGACCCTTTGGAGGGGCGTGACCACTAGGTTGGGAACCACTGCCCTAAAGTAACTGTTTTTAAAGTAGTTCAAACAAGCTCCACATCAAGCAGCTACAACAGTAAAATGCACAGTGATGCACATTTAGCAGATGATACTTGTATTAATAGGAGCTTTAATGCAGGACTGTACTTGTATTGGAGTATTTTACATTGCTGTATTGGCACTATTTTCTGTATTTACATAAATAATCTGAGTATTTCTTCCACCACTGCTCTGATCCTCCAGCAGTTTGTTCAGGAAAAATGAGTCAGTGTGATTCCTGAAATGTAAATGTTTTGAGGAGGAATTTGTCCATTCAGCAGTGATGACTATGTTTGCTTTGCCTACTCTTTGCCTAACCTGACCAGCTGTCTGCTCTACCTGTTACACCTGTGAAAACTACCTGTACTAGTCATGTACTTTGTGACTAAGTACTGGACTAATGTGATTTCAAGATTATATTCACATTTTAAGATGCTTTATACGTATACTCCACTACATTTCAGGGGGATTATACATGAAAAACATGTGATAATCATATTAAAATATGAAAGTATTTCTATATTGCAGTATTGCTACTTTTACTTAAGTAAAGGATCTAAACACTTCCTCGACTTCTGGTAAAAACTAACAAGTTTCAAAGGAGGGGAAGTGTTCCAGAAAAAGGAATCAAATAAACATTTTGAGCTGCTTCAGTTCTGCATGGTAGTTTGCACAAAGTCAGTTTATGATGCAGGTGCAAAATGAGAAACCCCCTGTAGTTAAGACAGACCAGATGCAGCCCTGCAAGCAACACTTCTTACAACTGAAACTATTAATTGCAGTTGGTTGTTATCACCATTTCTAAAATACTGCACGGTGATATGAACTTCCTCCATATCTTCAAAATTGATTAAATATAGTTAAAAACACAGTGAACACAGTTCTTACATCCTTCTGATGATCAATTAATGGTTAAACATGTTATTTATGAGCAAAAATGCTAAAAAAAAAAAAAAAAAAAAATCACTAGTTCCAGCTACTCAAATGTGAATATTTACTACTTTGTTTTTTTTTAAATTGTTGATCAGACAAAGGAGACATTTGACTGTTTTCAGATTTGTCAGGTAAATCAATAATGAAAATACTTTGTTAGTAGCAGTCCCTTTTTCTACAGTACAATGACAGTATGTAACATGTCCTAACTCTCTGTGAAGTACAATACCACTTTAAATATGAATCAAACACAGTAAGGCTGAGGCCTTTATGTTGGCTACAAGCTCAGGAAAACCACTCGTGTCGTGCTGCTGAAGTGCTGACCAGCTTGCTGTCAGTGCTCTTGTGGTTATGCCCTACATTGTCACAAAGGCCATTAAGTGCTACTTCAATTGCAAATATGCCAACTTAAATGAAGCCGTTTAAGCCATTTGGCATTAGGTTTTAAGTGATTTTTAAAAGAATGTCTTCGTACATTGCAACAAGAAAACCTGCATATTATTTCAGAGTTACAGGCATTATTAAACGTCATAGGATACGATTCAGGATTTTTTTTAAAAAAAGGTTAAAGGTTCCATATTTTCACTTCCCCGGTGTTTTATTTGGATAATTGATATTCATAAGAAGATATGTTTATATTTTTTAAGCACCAAAAACCATATAGGTTTACATCTTCTCTCTCATGCTTCCCTGTGGAACTCTAGCATGAACAGGGCATTTTGTGTCATTCTCTTAGCCTCTCTTCTGATTGGTTGACTACAGGCCAACCATAGGTACCAGACTCTAGCCTACTACTGTAACTTGGTAAAACGCATTGGTAAACGCAAATGGCGACGGTCAGTCAATGCTGAAATGAACCTAACAGATGGTTTTGGTCTACTTTAGATGGTCAAATTCAGACTAAAGTGCTGCAACATTTCATTAAAAATAAACTTAAGCCACTAGTCTTTAATGTTATTATTCTTGGGATGCCTCTGCAGTGACATATTGGCTTCCTGACATCCAACGATTGTGCAGCGTTGTAGCTTGCTTGATGGTGGGTCTGGAAGGGCCTTGCTGGGGGACATGGTTGAGGGCAGTGTCTATAGTTGTGACATCACAAAGTTACAGCAGTCCTGACGGCTTGTTTTAAGGAACATTCTCTGAATACAGGTTTTATGCATTTCTCTGTGGATTGAGCACTTTGAAATGCTTTAAAATCAAAAAAGACAATTTTTGTACTAAAATTGTCCTTGATTTCCACTTCATTTATTTCCTCACTTAAAACCATAGTCAGCAGTTGAGACTGGAATGAGAATGAGGGGGTTTCTTACGGCTGTAAAACTGCACAGACAAAATAAGTATCTTAATTTTTAGTCCTTAAAACCCCATTCAATTTTTTGTTTCAAGATAGGGTGAAATGTGTGTTGAATAAGTGACAGAGGAGGGTAAAAAAATATTTTGGTCCTACACGTTAATTTGTGTCTTCAATGCCAGAGTTTGTTAACTATGAACTTTGTAGTAATTGTTACATAATTTATAGACCAAAAGTGACTCATAGATATTGCAGTAACCTTAGTCTACTCTGCTCTTTAATGATTAAATGGTTTAACTCAGCTTTGCTACTCACCTTTTTTGTCTGATCTACCCTTTACTCTTCATGGTCCTGATTTGTAACTTAGTTATTTTTATACAATTGAACTGTAAGAGTCGGTTTGTCAAAGCTTTCATTTGCAATGAGTAGCCTACCACTTAAAGTGGCAGAACTTGGATGATTCAAAAATTTATCCACTAGGCTACTTGAGCTTTTTCAGTTAAGCTAACTATTCAAGTCTTTACCTGCAAATTCAACGTTTATCCAACACTTACGGTTTCAACTGTTTATTTTAACTTTTAGCCACCTGTTTATCCTTAGTTAACTATGTCAAACATTTATCCTTTACTTTTAGCTGTGATGAAACTGCTTATCCATTACTTTTAGCTAACTAATTCTGTTTATCCGTAACTTTTAGCTAACTATTTAGCCATTACTTTTAGATAACTGTTGAAATTGTTTATCCTAACCTTTAGCTTACTATTCCAACTGTTAATCCATTACTTTTAGCTAACTGTTGAAACTGTTAAATCATTAGCTATTTTTATTATCATTGGCTGTTAGCTAACTAATTTTTTTTAACAAACCATTACAAATGTTTGTCCATTATTTTCAAATAATCATTTGAACTATTTATTTACTTTACGTTTTTACCTAACTTGATTTTTTCTTCTTCTTGTAATTTATGTTTTTCTAAATTAGCTGCACTCTGCAAAATGAGCTACTGTACAAATACCCTTGGTTGGAAATCACAGGTTTAGTTTATGTTGATTAATGACTTACTTTAAAAGGATTAAACATACTACAGAGAATTTGAGGTATGTTTGTCTTAGATAATCAACGCATTACAGGAATCTATATGTTTTTTTATTAAGCTGTGCGCATAGATAAAAAGATGATGAATCTTTATATTAAGGGATGTTTGTTTGCCCCATGGGGGAAAGGGATTGTGCTGGGTATTTTACATATCTTGGTATAGGCTACCTGTGTTCAAAGATGAAAGTTGTAATTTTGCAGCTGCAATAGTGAAGCGAAGGTATTCATTTTTTTCAAGATAAGTCACCACATCCTTCACTCCGTAACCACAGACTGAAGGTTTTATTCACATCTGTGGGAAAATAACTAAAAGTAACACCCAATATATAGTAACTGCTATCATTTGGATCCTGACTGTAGTTATAATTTGACATTTGATCCGTGCTTTAGAGGTTTAACTCACTAATGACATGTTGACCTCTGTATTCCTGTCCTGTTTATGCATCGCTCTGTAAACAGTAACAGACGGGGAAGTGGCTTATGTGTCTCTTCCTAATTTAATAATAGATAACAAATGATTTTTCCAGTTCCTTTACTCCCACATGTCATGTCCACGTCCTTCATTCATGTGAAGGGCTTCCAACTCGATAGCTGAGTCACATGAGACCATATACAGTATTGTATAATTACCAGGAACTGAAGTATTAATGGTTGAGGGTAGTAACATATATTATTGGTGTTTCTGTGTCATGTTTATATGCTGTTATATCTTCTTCCCTTTCATTGTGTCCCCAAAAACCAAACAGAAGTCAGACAATTTAAAACTATTAGAAATGTTAAAAATCAATCAATTAAGGAATACATTTAGTCATGTGTAGATGTACTTTGTTAACTATCATTCAGATTTAAATGAGTCAATGAGCTGCTTGGTGTCTATATTTTATTGTTTTAAAGTAAAGTACTTTCTCACTTTTGCCATATTTATTCATGCCGTAATCTCATGTCTCTATATTTTGCTTTTGATGCCGGTGTCTCTGTGTTTTATAGTCTTTAATGCTGCAACGAATTATTATAGTATTTTCATCATTGATTAATCTGCTGATTATTTTCTTGATTAATCATTGCTTGGTCTATAAAATGTCAGAAAATTGTGATAAACGTTCATTTCAAACTTCTAGAACCCAAGGTGACTTTTTCAAATGTCTTTTTTTGTGTAGAGCTGCAACAGTCAGTCGATTTACTGATAAGCCAATCAAACAAAAATGAATTGGGAGCTATTTTGAAAATCAATTTATCAGTTTTTAATGCAAAAATGTTAAATAATTGCTGGTTCCTACTTCTCATAAATGAGAATTTGCTGCTTGCCTTCATCAAATATGATAATAAATGAAATATGTTTCATGTTTGAATTCTTGGTCAAACAAACCAAGCCGTTTTGGGTCCGGGAAGTTGTGATGGGTGTTTTTTTTAATGATTCATCTGTTAATTGAGAAAATAATGGCAGATCTTTACGTAATAATGGAAATAAGCATAAGCATGTTCAGTTTACTATCACATACGGACTAAGAAAATCAGAAAATATTCACATTTGCTTAAAAAATTACTTAAATGACAGAATTAACATCATCACTAATCATCAACTCTTAAAAGTCTGCCAGTTGCATTTAAAACACTGAGCTGGATTAATCTGCATGAAAGATTCTGTATTCTATAAATTAAATTTTAATTTCTTAAATTGTTGCATTTGGGAGATCAATTCCTGTTTTATTAAGAGCGCAGCAAAAACACCTTTTACACCATGTTATCATGTCAGTCATAAAAAGTACCCTCTGAACAGTTTTGACATCATCTTGTGACTTCCTAAAGATAAGCTGAACTGGTAAATATCATTCTAAAAACTGTGCCGTTATCTCATCAGCATGTTTACACCCCAGAGAGGGAAGTGTCTCTGCTCCAACAGATGAGAATTTTTTTTTCTAACAGGCACTTTGAAGCACTATGCTGCTGAAGCTGTTTAGAACGGAAATCGTAACTTACTTGTGCTGAATTAATAATATTCCTATATTTTTCTTTCTCCCCGCATAGAAACACTTGCCTTTTCTTCATTCTTTAAACCTGTCTGACACTTCAGCCGCTGCCGATGGAAGCCAGAGGAAAGTATGATTTTACTGCAACTGCAGACGATGAACTCACCTTCAGAAAGGGCGATATACTTAAGGTCAGTGTATGTCATGAAATTACAATTTTCTCACTGTGGCCTCAAGAATATTTCATTACCATTGTGTAACATCCTGTCGCTTTCTTTTCCTGATCAGATTTTAAGCTCACAAGATGATTGGTATAAGGCAGAGATGAACGGGCAAGAAGGATTCGTACCACAAAACTACCTTGAAATGCAGACTCCAAGGTAAGAGACGGTCGTACTAATTACCAAACAGTGGACCTGGATGTGGAATTGTTACCTTTTTGGGGATGATTGTTGAATGCAGTTGAATCCACACTTGGATGTGACAAAATGTACATCACTGAAATCTGACATCCTCGTCATTGTAACTGTGCAAACCATTTTATACAACCTAATATCACAGCGACAACAGTTGCAACAAGAATGTAAAGAAAACACAACTATTTTCACTAGGTTCAGTCTCACTAAGACTAATTCTGACTTGACAATAAAAAGAGACCAGGATCAGGAAGATTTATGTCAAAAAAGTTGTACTTTTACCATGGGAATCTGCTGTAGGTGCGTTTGAAGTTTATATCAGATAAGCATGAGAGTCATGTTTGTGCTTCCAGATGGTTTCAGGAGAACGCCAGTCGCAACGCTGCAGAGGAGCTCCTGAGGAGCAAAGATGTTGGAGACTTTGTGATTCGAGGGTCCCAGAGCTCCCCGGGAGACTTCTCCATCTCTGTCAGGTATTAAAAAGTCTTTGAATGTTTGCCTTGTTCATCATCTTAGTCCATCGTGTTTGCACTAACATGTCCGCTTGAAGTCAGAAACAGCTCAAACTGACAGACGTGACTTCAGACGGATTTGCCGTTGTTGCAGGGAAATTTTTGTAACGGAATTCAAAGAATTGAATATCTGAATTGCATCTTATTTAGCGTAGTATTTCTCATTTAGTTTTTGGTTTGGTGGTTTCAGTGTGTTTGAAATTTTACAAAAGATCTTTTTTTTTACGTCAAGAAGCCTTATTTAACCAGAAAAAGTACACCAATATTTCCCCTCTACACACATCAATGTACATGTAAAAAGTAACCTCTGACTCATCATCTCGCTGTTCTTAAGCTTCCCTTACGCTGCTGCAAAACTCTGCAAAACTTCACATATTTACAACCAGGAGGCAGCTGCAGCAGCGCTGGTAGAGTAAATAAGGCGGGAAGAGAGTGGCAGTATTTTTAGTTTATGGCAGTCTTCCAACAGGTGAAGTTTATCTGAAAGTGTCTGCAGTCATTCAGACCACTAGGGAAAAAAGTTTGCGCTGTACAGTTCACTGGGCCAAACACCTTTTCTTTTAGTCTATTCTTTGTTCTTAGTTGTTGTCGGTCAATCAAAGGCGTTTTTTTCTCAGAGGACAGTTTGACAGGTCACAGTAGGAAAATCACGTGTGTAAATATTCCCATTTGCCAAATGTTAAGTATGAGGATGCAAATCCTTTGGGGTTGTGTGGCAGCCAGAGGCACAGGAGACACTGCGCTGACAGAGGAAAGAATGGATTCCACTCATTTCTGAATGTAAATGTCCTGCAGTCAGCCAGGAAAGAGAAAGTGAAAAAGAGGCTTGTTTTTAGAAAAGGACAATGATTTAAAGCAGACTTCAGAATCCACCATGAACCGCTTCAAGAAACACAAGCTGAAGCTTTTGGAGCGGCCCTCACAGCCCCCTGTCCTGAACATCTCTGAAAATCTGTGTGTAGATCTCAAGACAACCTAAAATATCTCAGAACTTGACGTGATCTGCAGGAAGAGGGTGAAAATTCATCAGTCAGGAACAGAGAGACTCTTATCTGGCTACAACAAGTGTTGGCGAGCCGTCATCTCGGCCAAAGGGAGGTTACTAAGTTCTGGAGTCTGTTCAGGTGTCTTTATATAAATACTTGGGTGTCCACATAGACAAACTTCTTTGCTGGAAACACACATTAATAACTTGTAGAGAACACTGCGGCAGAGACTTTATTTTCTACCTACATTCAGACCAAAAGTGGTGACAGTGAAAGAATTCGGGCGCTGCAGAAGTTTGTGGGCGCTGAACGTACAATATGGTGACTGAGGCTTTGTGGAGTGAGCAGCCAGATCATGCTAATGTTCCACTGGGCAATCCTAGAGAGCATCATTAGATATGGAATTACGGCATGGTTTGACAATCTAACAGTGCTAATGAAAAGCAGGCTTGCCAGTATGCACATGTGAGGGGGTAATGTGGAAGAAAGGATACGAGAACATTCAGAGCCTGTACGAGCAGACAGTCATGAAACAAGCAAAAAAAAAAAATCATTGCAGACTCTCAGCATCCCGTCTTCTCTGAATATGAATCTCTGCCATTGAGAGGAAGCCTCAGGGGCCGAAGTGTGAATCAGACCTCTTGTAGCATGTAGCGGTTGGATTGTTGCATGTAGGATTCTTAGAGTTTATTTTTAAACCATTGTGTTGTCAATGTCAAATGTAGTCTAATGTCTCTTTCATGTTTCAGTGGTGTTTTTATGCTTTATGTGCCCAAGACAATTATTCCTGGGACAATGGCGTTTACTTTACTTTACTTATGCCACAGCTTATGCTTACTCTTTTTTTAATTTTTAATTTCATAACATAAAAAGTAACATTTGACATGTACATTCGTACATTAACATTTGAAAACAGGCCACTTTTGGTCTGTTTACTGTTTGTTTGTCTGTTCACAGCTTAGTCATGTTGTTTTGCATTTTCAAAGCAGAGGCTGCGACTAACGATTACTTTTCATCACTTTATCGATTAATCTGCTGATTATTTTTTTCAATGAGCGGATGAATCGTTCTGTCTGCAGAATGCCAGAAAATAATGAAAAACCTCTGATGTAATATCTCACAGTCCAAAGGTGACGTCTTCAAGCATCTCTTTTTGTCTGACCAGCATCCAAAGATATTCACTTTACTATCATGTGGCAAAAAAGACTGAAATTATTATTTGATCAAAATCAAAATAGTTGCTTAATTTTCTGTCCACTAATCGATTAATTGACTACTGTGCTGTTTTTAATTACAATTATGAGTTTATTTAACTTCTTTCTTAGAGTGTTTTGAGAGTATTCTTGTATTTCCCTTTTATGCCGCTTTATACATCTTATCTGCTACATTTACAAATATTGGACTTTACTCTTCATTTATCTGAGATTTAGTGTTTACTTTGTAGATTTACATAGAAAACATATTATCAGTTAAATAAAACACAATACAATGCTCTGGAATACACCCAACAGTATATGAAATACTGTAGTTATAATTTGCTCCACTATGTCCAGCTACATTAAAACACTGCTAACATGTTAATGATTCTACTACTGGTGGAGGCCATTTTATATGTTATTGGAGAGTTTATAAATACAAGACAGAAAAGGAACATTATTATCAACTGTGTGTATTATAACCAAACATCACAGTAAATCCGCATCCATTAAAGGCCCTGGCAGGTGCTGAGGACCTCAGTTATCACTACCAGGATGGCAGTTATTGCTGTCTAGTAAACCGGTGTTGCAGTTTTCTGCATTGACCAGCAGAGGACAATCCAGTTGAGGAAACAGTCTGGGAATTCAGGAATGAAGGAAACAGGGAGTCACTAGTTGTTCAGTTAAAAGGTGGTGGAACAGGTGGGGGCCTTCAGGTACCTGTGCACTGAAATAGACAAAACCCAGCCCTTTTCTGAGCACAGTGACTCTGTGACCAAGAAGATTGAGGAAACTCATGAGTGTGAATTTGAGGAAGGACATTTTAGCACGCGTGTCACTTAATGAGTCAGTCCTCGTTCACAGTCAAATCAAAACTTTCTTGGATCATCAGCCATGCAAATAAAATACCAGGAAGCACCCAGTTATCATGATCAGATCTCTACAGGCAGGCAGTTACCCAAATGATAAACAAGCTATGAAGGAGCAAGTACTCTAACACTTGCACATATTTACACTCTTAAGTTAAAGTGCAAAGTGGTAGATCTGGTGTGGATGGATATGCTTAGAGCCTGTCACATCACTCTCAATCATTGCTCTGAAACAGCTGAGCCAATCACTGAGAGAAACCTTTCTGTCGTTGAACTGTTTTACATTACACAGAGTGTTTCTGTTTTTTAGCCTACCTTCTATAAATGGTAATAAAGTAGAAACAGCAGGATTGTCCATAGACTTTAGGCAGCAATATTAAGCTACATAAATCAAACAGCTGCTGCTTCTTGTAGAAGTAACAGCAGAGTAAAGCAGTAGAAAAAGCAGAGATAGTAGTAATTGTTGATGCTGTACAGTGCTGCACACAGCTGTCTGAACATCACCATCCGTAATCTTCTCTAAATCCAGCTTCTCTGCCAGTTCTCAGTCACAGTTGAAGGATCCACCGTCTGTATTTTAGCATGCACCATGCACCTGCAGGTCACACAACATGGCAGGTATGTTTGATTTAGGACATTTGCTGTGGTTGCCGGGCAGGTACATCCAATCAGCAGCTTCTTCTCTGCTGCAGCTGCTGATTTCCTCAAAGTAATACATGAGACAGACATAAACGTCATATTTCCATTAATTTCTCTACATCGTTTTTCACTGTTCTTGGTTTCACTGGCTCCTTCAATTACACCGTGTTGTGGGTTTAATGTCTATAGCTGCCTAATCTGTGCCGGAAACCTAAATTGCTCTACACGTGTGAAACCACGGCTGTTGGTTTGGAGTAGGGTTGGGCTTAGCATTGACCTGCTCATACATGCGCTACAAATATCAGGAACTAGAGAATTTACGCCACCAGCTGTTTTACTCAATAAACCAACTCCTAGTATTTGCATGGAAGGAAACATGCATTCATTTACATTAGATTCATAATGGATAAACAGTTTAAACAGTTAGCTAACACTTGAAACAGTTACCTAACACTTGAAACAGTTAGCTAACAGTTTAAACAGCTAGCTAACTGTTTGAACATTTAGCTAAAAGTACTGGATAAACAGTTCAAATAGTTAAAATTAATGGTTAAGTAGTGTTCACCATTTTGCTTTTACATCAACTTTTCCACCTCATAAAAACTTTTTTGCAACATTTCAAGATTTCTTTGAATTTCCAGTGTTTCCTCTCGTTTTTTATGCACAAAAAATGTGCATAACACAGGTAGTAAGCCCATCTAATAACATTTTTCTGATTCTGATTCTTCATCTTTTCTCTTTAGACATGAGAGTGACGTTCAGCACTTCAAAGTGCTGAAGGACAACAAAGGCCAGTACTTCCTGTGGTCTGAGAAGTTCACTTCCCTAAACAAGCTGGTGGAGTTCTACAAGACCACCTCCATCTCTAAGACCAGAGAGATCTACCTCAACGATGGCAGCATGCCCAACAGGAGTCCCTCTGTGGCCCAGTCGGTACGAGGTTATACTACTATACTATTATAGAAAACAAAGAAAAACAGAAAATATTCAAAATTATGAAGCTGGAACCAGTGGGTTTTTTATATTTGTGCTTAGAAAACTCTAATTTAACATTTTGATCATAATAGGGGGACCATTTTACATGTAGATCTACTTAAATAATTAAAATGGTTAAATATTGCTAAAAGGATTCAGTAGCAGGGCATGTGTATACATGCCTAAATAGCCAACACCAGAATATTTACAGGTGAATTTAGAGGTATTAAAATAAATGGGAGACCAAAGTCAAAACTCATTCAAAATGTATAAATGTTGTTCTTTTAGATCTAAATTATTTTTATTGTGTTGAAGCAGATAATGTCAAACACAGCGTAAAACCTTTTTAGGCGTAAGGAGTGTATTTCATATTTTAGAAAATATACCATTATCTGCATGTCACAATCACCCATCATGTCTGTCATTTATGTTTTTTGTGTCCATGTTTCACTTTTATGCACAACCCATTTGTTTGTGGTGTTTATATGGTTTTATTTTATTTGTTTTATCTTATTTTTTTGTCAATTTATGTCCATTTCTTGTGTTTGATTTAATTTCTAATTTAGTTGGTTATTTATGTGAATGTTTTGTATTTGTTCCAGTTACTTTACTGCCTCAGTTTGTACACATCATGAAAAACGTTTGATTCGTGAGCATATAAATAGAAATGACAGTTCTTGTGTCAATTATTCTACTGTAGTTCCTGATGCACCTATTTTGATTCTTCAGTGCGATGTTATCTACTTCCTGTATGTTTCCGTCCCATAGTTGAAGAGGGGAAGTTTGCCTGAACAACATCAATCAGCTGCAGCGATTGCTGCTACACCACGCAGAGCTTCAGACCAGCCTCACAGCCAGCTGGTACACTCTCTTTATATAACAAACAACACCGCTTTGCAACATTCGTCAGTCTGATGTTCCCCCTCTGCCCTGTCTGATCAACTAAGGACCGTCATAGAAGCCACGTCCCATGTTCCTAACGCTAACTCTCGGAGTGGCAGAAACGAGATGTTTCAACCATTTAGTGATTACTTTTAACTATTTAAGCTGTTTATCCATTACTTTTAACTGTTTCAACTGTTTATCAATAACTAGCCAACTATTTAAAGGACCTATGTCAGTTTTTGCTATTGCTACATAGGCAACGTTAGCATTAACAGCTGTTTACTTACCAGTCTAGAAGGAATGTTGAGAGTTCAGCATCACACTTCATTCCTTTATTCGCCAAGAGCTGTCTCGATCGTTGGATGTTGACTCTTGTTTTGCCCCATTTCCACCACTTCTTTTCTTCTACATGCTAACTAGCTAGCCTCGGCCAGGCTGGTCTGTCTCGTCACTTTCCGATAGTAAGTCACTGTAGCATTCCAGTTTGTTCTGAAGAAGTAGCAATTAACTTAGCTTACAATTTCAGCCATTTTTAGCTAACTATTTAATAACTATTACTTTTAGCTGACAATTTAACCATGACTTTTAGCCAACTATTTCAACCGTTAATTCATTACTTTTAACTATTTCAAGTGTTCATCAATCACTTTTAGCTAACTATTGAAAACGTTTCTTTTTTTGTTTATCCATTACACCATAACTTCTCCGCTCACTTGCTAACTAGTTTTCACACACTCTCAATCACAATACGTGGCGTTCAGGTGTTCCAACTCACTGTGGATTTCAAAATATCTGTTAAAAATAATAATAAACTACTGGCAACTGCAGAAGCAACACCATCACTGCTGTGTACCATTATATTGATTATATAATTTTTGGCTATCAGTTTTAGTTTACACTCAGCTATAAGTGCAAGCATAAACATAAAGTGGAGTGTTTTTCTTCTTTTTCCAGGCTAAGAGAGTGGGTCTGGAGGAGCGTGCTCACACCATCGGCCACACAGGAAGAAACAGCCCCGTGAGTTCTGCATATCCTCCCCGTCGCACATCTGAAACCATGCTTCTGCCTCAGGTCAGCCTGCTGTCCTTTCCCCTCTGCTGAGGAAAAACAGTCTGTTCTGGGATTTTGGTTGAAGTAGTCCAAAGCAGGGCTGCAAATGATACATTTTCTGTCAGTTGACTTGTTTTATCATTAAGCAGTGGTCCAGATTTTTGGATAATTTCGGGGCATTTTAGGTCCTCAAATCCATTTATTCATGCCTTATTCTTCTTCTTTGTTTTCTTGTAATTACTTTCAAAAGGGCATAAATAGAATAATATAAAAATAGAATAGAGACTAAAGATAGAACTATACACAATGTGCTAATATACACTGTACAATGATAGTGAAATACTATACTATACTATATATGTTTAATATCATAAAAGGTTACAGTCTGTATAAGCAAATAAGCAAAATGAGAGCATGTTTTAATATTTCAAAAGCACAAATTAAAAATTAGAGGGAAAAATTTAAATAAATGAACAACTCAAATGAGTAACTTTGGATAGCGATTTGTAATTTGAGGACATTTTTATCTGCTAAAATGTTTTTACTATTATAAATGAAGGTAAACAATGTCAGCTATTGATCAGCGTTCGGTTTTCCCCCACAGAGGCCGTCTGCAGTGCAAGTGAAGGCGCTTTACGACTTCACTGCAGAGGAAGATGATGAACTCGGTTTCTGCGCTGGAGATGTCATCGAAGTGCTGGATCGCTCGGACGCATCATGGTGGAAAGGGAGGCTGCGGGGGAAAACCGGGCTGTTTCCTGCAAACTACACAATACAGCTGTGAGAAAACACCCAGGCGACGCACTTACTATGCCGGCACACATTCACAGACTCGCTCTGCAGGTGCAGCAGCCCCGAATGTGTCTTTTTGAACATAAACACTGAGCAGTCAGTGACTCATCTAATCTCTGCATCGCATGTTGGCACTTCATCAACATGCCAGGGCCCAAATGACTGCAAGTGATTTAGCGTTTTCATATATATGCTGCCACTCAGTGCGGTGCTCATTCAGGTTTTATTGGACATGCTATGCCTCAGTTATTCACAAAGGATCAAAGGCACATCCTAAAACCTTTCATATGTTTAACTGGCACACAGGAACTGCTGCAGATCTCACTGAGGAATGTTTTATCATCTCTATTAGGGCATGTCTGTCAGCAGGGATTCAATTCCAATATCAAAATGCTCTTTGGCCAGTCTGCTCATGAATCCACTGTTTCTGCTCATGCTGTAAGTGTAGTCATATTTTATACCACAAAAAAAGTTTTGTATAAAAAAATCAGTACATTTCCCAAAGAATTTAAATGCTTCACATAGACATGTAACTTCCTCACTGATATGGAAATAAAATGATTTTTTTACCGCTGATTTTATGTTTAAATTTAATGCTAACTCTGACGAAGTCTTTCTGAGGATTTTAATATGGACTTCCTGCTTTTATCTTCCTTCATGATATTTTTGTTTCCTACAAGCCACTGTGCATTCTTTTATTCTGGCATTTCTCTGGAAGACTGAAATTTATTTATAGACTCACAGGTTGTCTAGTTGCAGGATGGCAGCTATAAAGTAAAAGCAGAAGTAAGGAGAGGTGGCCTTCAAAGTAAAAGTTGCACTAATCTGGAGCCTACTCCAGATTAAAGGGGTTGGATTCACTAAAGGATGTACCTTTAGTTGAACTGCTGCAGCCTCACAGAAACCAGAATTAATTTGTCACTGACTTTTGCAAGATAATTACCCAAAAACTGAATAAAATCTCTGCACTGTTAAATATGTCACAGGTGTTGTTGGACGAAAGCACAACTCAAATTAAACAGAAAAAATGCCTGCAAGCTGTCTCACTTACTGCTGTCATATTTATTTACAACTGTTGTGTACAACATCACAAACACATAATTTACAAAAGAATTAGCTGGTGTTTAGGTCTTAGACAGCTTGATACTTATCATCAGGAAAATATTTGTTATATTTGAGTAAAATTATGTAGCAGTTAAGTGAAAAATTGTTCATACACAGATGTCAGTGTACATCAGTTTCCTAGAAGCAAAGTCCTTCCCATTTATATACATGAGGGAGGCAGAATATTAGAAACACCTCTGAATTTGAAGCAGTCCAGTACGAATGTCTCGTTTAAGACAGTGTCAACAAAAACTGAATCATCATTCATGTAGATTTAATGCGTAATAGCTGTATTGAATTGCATTAGACTAAACAGTTGTACTCATAAATTGGTCACTGAGTGTACACACTGTACATAGTTGATGTTAGATAAATTCTACCTATGTATTGTTTCAGGGACTTCCTGTGTTTGTGGTGCTCACCAGTAAGGTTTATTGTCCTTTATGGTAATTTCCTGTAAACCACAGTAGTTGTTTGTGCTGTGCTATATTTCTATGGTACCTTGATATTTATTAATACGGGATTTCTGCAGGTACTATTGGTGCAGTCAGATCTGCCCGGTGAAGCTCACGTGGTGAGGCTATATGCAGGAAGGGACAGGAAATAGTGTGGGTTTGGGTTGTAAACAGCCGTCCAGGAAGCTGCAAATCAAACAGCCTTTTATCAAACATTTTACAGTCACTAACCACGGTCACTGTCCTCATACTCACTACATACAAACAGCATCTTTCTTATCTGCTGCTGTTAGATGTCAATAAAACCTGTCTAACACATGATATATTTGCATCTGACTGATGGTAAAGGGACTGTAATTATTATATTGTGCTTTTATAGGACACATTACAGCTTGGAAGTCAAGGAGCTGACATTCAAAGTGCTGCGGTTATGCTGAGCCACAGCCACGATCTTAATATAATGTGCTTATAGGATGTTTTTAAATATTTCATGTTGGGTAAATGTTCACGTTACCACACCAGTTTTAGTCATTAACTACTGACTGGTTATACTGCTTTCAATGATGAATTGGTGAGTTCTACTCCACTTTCATCAAGCAGGTTAATTTTTAAACTCTCACCTCTGTTCAGTCAGTTTACTACTGTGTGCAGCTGAACACACATAGCAGCTGGACAGTCTGCGGACAAAATCAGGTTTACATGATGTCCTCTAAATCCAGTTTACATGTAAACTGATTATTCTGAGCAAGAATGTGAACAATGTGCAGCACATACAGGTGCTGCAGAGAAAGCAGCGCACAAGTTCCCACAACAAAGTTTGCATGCTCTCCAAATTTTTTTTTATTGTTTTATTGATGTTTTGATGAAGACTTTTGCATTGAAATTTTATTTAAAGTCAGATACCTTTGCAAAGGTCTTCATCAAAACCTTTGAGGTCAAAACATTGCGTCAATAAAAACTTTTTTGGTGCTTGGAAATTTCCTCTCTGTTTCTCTGACATTTATTGTGAAAAGCCTGTTGCTGTTTTTAGTTAATTCACATATTGCATGTGTGCAAGTCATTACAGGGGGATTTTATCACCAGGGCTGTTTTACTTTGCTCCCCCTGTCTCTTCATCACCTCCATCTCCTGCATCATTTGTTGATGTTTTAATCTGCCTTGTTTGTAGGATCTGTCCTGGGTCAGATTCAAAGTTGCCTCCTGGGACATCTGACTCATTTGTGCTTCTCTGTAGTTTGTAGTGGTGGAAGATGGATTCAGATCCTTTACTAGAGTAAAAGTAACAATACAGTAATGTAAAAATACTGCATTACAAGTAAAAGTCCTGCATTCATACTCTATTTGTTTAATACTTAACATGTTGCTGATAATATTTTCATTTCATGGCTGAGAAAATAATAAGATTAATGATAATCATTAGTCGCAGTCTTATATAAAATAGTTAAGAATTAGTTCCACCTTGACCAGCTAATTATATAATCTAATGATATAATTAACAATAAGGTGTCATTTTTCTGCATTGAGAACATTTACTTTTGATACTTTAAGTAAATTTTACTGATTATACTTTTACTTTACCTTTACTTGTAATGGAATATTTTTACAGTGTGGCAGTTTGAAAATAGCAGTAGACCAACTTTCAACAGCGACAACTTTATTTTGAGAGTTGTGTAACAGGAAATTCTCTAATAATGTGAGCAGCTTTGCCAGGCTCCGCCCCTTGCTTTCACCTGACGGTGTCGCCTCAGAACTTACCTGTCTGCACAGGTAGAACGGTGTTGCAGAGCAGCGGCCCCGGTGAACCAGGAGCGACTTGCGGGGGAACTTGTATCGGTCATGGCGGAGTCCCAGCTGGTGTGCATGGACGACGACCACGTCAACGAGAAGATCCCGGAGTCCAAACCCGCGTTTTACTACAGCGAGGAGCAGCGGGCGGCGCTGGAGCAGCTGCTGAGGAACGGGGACGGTGCCTTCAAGATGCGACTCAAAGAGGACAACATCAAGGACTTCCTCTCCGCCAGGGAGGTGAAGTCCATCCGGAAAACCTTTCAAGAGTACGACACGGACAGCGACTCCGAGTCCGCGGAGCATGAGAAGTCCAAGGAGTCCTCCAGCGCGGACTCCGGGGTCCACTCCACCTACTGGCCCCAGATGTCCGACACGGAGGTCCCGTCTCTGGACATCGGCTGGCCCGGCAGCAGCGGCCTCTACAAGGGCGTGACCCGGGTGTCCGTGTACACCCATCCGCCCAAAGAGCCCGGGCCGCACATCAAGCAGGTGGTGAGGAGACTGATCCAGGAATCACAAAAGGTAACTTCAGCTTCACTTCAGGGCTGCAGCTAACGATTATCTTCATCATCGATTGGTGAATCAATCAATAACCAGAAAATAGAGAAACAAATCACCTGTTTTATTAGACTCAAAGTCCAACATCCAAATGTCAAAATAGCTGCCAATTAATTTTCTGTTAATCATCTAGACCTAATTGTTGCAGTTCCACGCTATTCTCATGTGAAAAGAAAACTGACACTGCAAAAAACCCAAATCAGTCCAGAAGGTTTTATTTCTAATCAGTCTACATTTTTCTGCCTGTTTCCAGTAGTTTAGGGACTGTGTGACAAATCCTGGTACACTCAACATTTACTCTTTCCAGCATCTTTTATTCCATTTTTTTCTTTTTTGTTCATGACTGATAAAATGAACATTGTTGGGTTTTGAAGTAAGTCATCTCACGACACTGGACATTTTAGAATTTTAAAATAACAATTAAATGTTTGGGTCAAACACTTAATTGTTATTTAAGAAAACAATCAATAATGCTTCCCTACAGCATCATTTATATCAAACTTTGCTGCAGTGAAAGTCAGACAGAATGCTTTTCACCTGATAAGATTAATGCAGGTAGATTTACAGATTAAAGGCAGTTTGACAATCAAGTCAAATCTAAATCCCAAAGCCTGAGTTTGTGTGTAAACTCTCCTACAGAGATGACGACCTGAAGTCTCCAGGCTGTGTTACAGGAACACATTTATCACACTGCTGCTGGAAAATAACCGACCGTGTAATAAAACTGGCCTCTTGTCCTTACAGAGAAAAAAAACCAGGCCCTGACCTACTTGGCCCACACCTGAATAATAGTTTTGAAATATTCAAAATGATTGGCTACAGGTGATCATGTGACTGTTACTCACCTACACCAGTGAAAGAGACAAAGACCCCCAGGCTGAGAGCGATTACTGTCGCTCTACTTGTGTCCTTTGTGTGTGGAGGAGACAGGAGCCTGTTTTAAATCATAGTTGAAATGAATGCAAAGGATTTATTTCAATCCAAAGAAAATATACTGTGGAACATGAATGTTGCCATGGACGCATTATGAGACAATCGGTCCCTGGGCACAGATTTGTAAAAGGCTTTTGTGGTCACTTTTTGTCTCTTTGTGGTCATCGTCTCTTTACGGTCATTTTCATTGACAAGAAACAATAGATGTCACTTGATAGAGAGGCTGTGGCCCCCGTGGCCCAGAGGCCCCTGAGCCTTATGGCCCCTAGACTTGTTCCCCGCAGGCCCGTTCGGTAATTGATCCACACATACTGTGGATTAGATTTATTTCCAAACCATAAACAAAGGTCATACTAACATATTATTGTTATGTTGCTGATGCTCTTAATTGAATAGTCATCAGAATGTCAGAGTGTCGACATGAGAGAACAATTTATTAATAATTTAAGTAAAAATATCAAACATTTGCTTCTTCCACCTTTGAAATTGTGAATATTTGCTGCTTTTCTTTAGAGCTGCGACAACTTGTTGACTGATCAGAAACTATTATAGATAATGTAGTAATAGCTTTTTATTTCTAAGCAAAAATGTCTAATATTTGCTGGCTCCAGCTTCTCCAGCATGAATAGGTAATGCTTTTCTATGTCGTATATGATACTAAACTCAAATGTTTTGTGGGAAATTATGTTTTTCACATTTCCTGACATTTTGTGGACAAAAACGTTTCATCATTCTTTGCGGTCTTTCTTTTCGTCTGTTCTTCTGAAATGTGCGTCTTTGGATTTTTGGTTTTCAGATGAAACAATAAACTGAAAGATGCTGCTTTATGAAGATGTGATGAACAAATAGTTTTACAGACAAAAAAAATGAATCGGTTAATTGACAAAATAATTGCGAGATTAGTCAGTTAGGACGTCATGAAGTGATGTTCGCTGCAGCTTTAGACTAAAAACATAGATCATTCAAAGGTGAAGTCTGAGGTTTTTTTTCGTCATCATGTTGATATGTCATACATAACAGTGGAACACATCTTGGCTTATATTTGTCATATTTATATTTAACACAGTTATTCTATTGATTTAAACCCAGATAACTGCAGAAACTATTTACTGCGAGTCTGTCATTAACCTCAGACAAGTTTCTACAAGTTCGGACCAATCCAGTCATCTCTGCTATAAATGTGGAAGTGAAAATAAAAGTGACAGTTAAGAGTTATTACCCCAAATTTTCATTATCACGGTCCACTGTACTGAACCGTAGACGGAGAAAATATTAGTATTACTCAGTGCAATTCAACAGCACCCCAAACCGCATCTTCCATAATGATCTTAAACATGAATCAGCACCTCTGAAATGACTCTAACGCAAACTGAACATGGAGGTGAAGGAGGATTTATTACAGGATTAGACCTCATTAGTTTGAGCAAGGTGTACCTAATTAACTGGTAAGTCATTGTAAATCTTGAAAATGTACCAATTCTTAACAGGTAACATGTCTTTGTTCAAATAAAATCAATTTATCTTCTAGAGGATAAAGAAATGAAAAACTGCAGCTCGTCCCACAGTCAAACTGTGATGGTGTCTGTTTGATTAATTGCCATGTGCTGTTCAACAGAATGCAGTGAAGTCAGATACAGGTACAGGACTATCCCTAGGCGCTGTTCTGCATCTATACTCAACATCTGCAAGAACCTATAGAGAATCAGATCAATTTTCCAGGGAAGGGCTCGCCAAGCCCACGGCATCAGTTATAAAATCTAAAAACCGCGACGGGATCAGCCGCTTGCAGGTTTTAACAAGCCGAGTCACACGTGGTGCAGACGTTGAAGGTCGAGCTGCTCTAAATGTCAGCTGCACATCAGGACTTGCAGCAGGAAAATAAAGACTCGTTCAAGCCTCCCCCTCGATCCTGCAGCCAAGCCTCGTCTTCTTAATTTCTCCCTCGCCCACTCAGAGATTCCCGCTGAGTGGTTAACCTGCTGGGTATGGAAAAAAAAAAAAAAAAAAAAAAGCTAAAGAGGGGAATGTTAACTTGTGCTTGGCCTGATGTTTGGCACCAGAGGCTGAGGAGACACGGTTTGTTCTAACTGGCACAGAAAGCACCGTTTCTCTTTTTGAGGTGAGGAGGATGGTAAACGGATAAAAGGTGAACTAGACTATAGCTAGGTTTATATCCGTCATAATATAATGATATTGTTCATGATCACTGTACTGGGGATACTGTAGTGTTTCCCTACACAAAGGGCATTTAAGTGGGTGTGGAATGGTTTTTTTTTGTGGCGATGCAGCTGTGGAGTATGGAATCATAGGGGTGCCATAAAAAAGAATAAATCGGTAAAAGAAGAAGAAGAAGAAGAAAATAAATGTGGAAATATAAACACGAATGAATAAATAAAGAAATAAAGGAATGAATGAGTAAATTAAAAAATGTGGAGAAGAGAAATATATAAATAAATTAAAAAAAAATGCAAAGGCGATAGGGGAAAAGTGTTTTTTTTTTAATTCTTTTTATTTGTTTTTATACTTCCATATTATTTTTATTCCATATATATTTTTGTGGAGCTGTTTTAGGGGAAGATATTGCTGTTTTAGTCTGGATGGAGAGTCATAATGGACAAAAAAAAGATGCACACAGATACAAGACGGGGATTAAACAAGGGCGACCTGTGACTGTGGGACTGGTTAGTCAACGGAATGTACTTGATGACATAAGTTGATTCTCTTCATTATCTATTTACAGTAGCCTACTCCGAGCCTTCACAGTTTAATTAGCTGCTCATATGCTGAGATTACACCTCTCATCTACTCATGACAGCCTGCCCAGTGCTTGAGAGAATACTTGTGCATTTCAGGAGTTCAAATTGCCGCTCTTATAACTACAGAAACACACACACTCGTACAGATGTGCTAATTCTGGAGGCAGAAATTGATTCTATTAGAGATGATCATCTCAGATCGAGAGACGAACCCCAGCAGTGTCATTTATGTGATGATGAGCTGTGGATTGAGCAGCAAATGTTTTCAGGACAGGTGGAGAATCGTGCTTCTCATTCAACTGCTTTCAAGAGTAAGAGCAGGTGTTAAATCCACAGACAGTCTTAGAGTCTCATATTTCGTACAGTCTTATGTTTGCAATGAAAAGAAATAAATGAAAACTTTTGCCGGTTGAGTGAGATGATCATGTTTTTATCTCTTTGAAACCAAGCAGAGTAAAGCAGAGCACTACGGCAGTATCTTAACAAGGCTCAGAGCAGAGGTGTAGTGCTATTTGTTTAAGTACCAGAGGGACACCTATGGTGCACACACGCGGTTCAGTTTCTAAGGTTATGTAACCACTGTTCCTACGGTGACAAGTTTCCATAGATCAGTCTCCTATGATCTCATGATCAAATGTTAGGCTGACTTTATGAACAGCTTCTTCATGTTGAAAATGTGACGCAGCCTCAGACAAACATCCAGCTCAGTAATATTAGACCGTAACATGGGTGTAGCAGGTTGTAATTAGCATAGCATTAAGCAGCAGGTGAATGAACACAAGTAGTTTGCGTTTTGATTTCATTTACTGACTTATGTCGAGCAAATGAAGCCACATTGGAGGTGAAGCTAAGCTAACAGGCTAGCCTATGAAAATGTAGCTGAGCTAGCTTTCATTTCCAGAAAACTGACTGTGTCATGTTTCTGTGTAAGTGCATCACGGATAAAGAAAGTTTCAGAAGAGTGAATGATGAATTAACCATTTGATTCAGTGAGCAGCTCAGGGGCCGGCAGCTAGCGGACACTTTGTTTTGGGCATTTTTGGCCTTTATTCTGACAGTACAGTGAGAGATGGACAGCAAAGTCAGGGAGCGAGAGAGAGGGGACATGCAGCAAAACGCCATGGGTCGGACTCGAACCCACGGCTGCTGCGGTTAGGACAAGGCCCATGTGATGCGCTCTCTAGCAGGTGAGCCACTGAGCCCCCCCCCCCCCACTGGACACTGAAAAGGTGGAATGTTTTTCTTCGTGTTACTCAGTGCTTGACGTTTGGAAATCAATTAATACACCTTAAATGTCAATATGACAACTTTGACCATTTCATTTGTTTTTATTAGCTCTCTAGATGACGTACTCTTTAAGGATGATCGGGTCTTCAAAAAATGTATACAACTAAAATTACAAATGACAGATTTTTATTAGCTGTTTAGCTGTTTACTTTTATCATCAGTGTAGTTTCAGATTGTACCCACATGGAGCTCTCTCTCTCTGCTAGGAAACTCCTGGATCAGGCCCAAACATGTACAACCAGTGCTGCAATAAGGAAATGGAAAAACCCTCACATGATCTCACATGAGATATAAAAGCCCAGTGGGGCTGTAAAACACACTCGTGTGTGTCTAAGAAGATAGTCAGTAGTAAAGCTGCACTGAAAGTAGACCGATACGTGTCCTGTATATGTGCTATGTCTTGTGTCTTGTGACGGGCTGATGTAATGGCCCTGAACACTGAGACACTGCTGTTTAATTAATTAAGCAATCCATGTTAATTGCAGCTGTTGCTGGACTGTGTTGAGACTCTCTGGCGTGACCTTGTTTTTAATCACCTGGAAAAACAAGTTCCACGGAAGCATCAACTGTTGCCTCGTCTGCGTGCGATGTGCTCACCTGTTATGTGCCTTTGTGTTCGCTGGCAGTGGGAGTGTTGAAAAGGTTTCATTGGTCTTAATGTTGCAGCAGTTGTGTTTGCGTACCGAGACGTGAATCTTAACTCGGTCACCCAGAAATCGTGAGGTGTGATGTCATCGGTGACCTGCGTACAGCTCAGTGATCTTCACCAGGAAAACGAACCAATGAGAGGAGAGAGAGTCTGAATGAGCCTGACTGTTATTTGCACTGTCTGGTATTTCTGCTACTTATGTTACTTCTACACATATCTGTAGTGTAGTACTCTGTGTTATAGGAGTGCAGTACTCTCTGAAGTAGGTAATTAAAGGTCCTTAAAGTATTATAGGCAAAAGTATAATGTGATTGTTGTACCATGATATGTTATGCTAGTGGATTATTACTGATGCGTTAATGTGCAAGTAACATTTTACTTCTATAGCTGGTTGAGTTGCTAACTTTAACAATTTATTTTTGAATTAGATTTTAAATTATAGTTGCTCCAGTCCCATTCAGGGTTACTTGTATTTTTTTTTTTTTTTGCATTCAGATCATTAAAAACAATATGATTAAAAACAATGATTTTTGAATTTATAATTCAGGAATTCAGGGATAGACTTGAATTTTGTGTATTTGCCATTTAGCTAATAAAATGGCAGCATTACAGATACTCTTGAGTTATATTTTTATGCAAAAATAATGGCCTTACAACATAGTAAATCACATCTCTACGGGATCGTTACTCAAACACTCTTTTATACCCTCTGTCATCTCCCTCATAAATTCTAGAAGGAAAAGGTAGACGTTGCTTTTTATTGTCGACTAACGAACTGCCTGTTTTTTTATGAACTTATTGACCTTTATCTTTTGGTCTTGGTGTTGTATTTATGTGCCCGGTGTTTTTGGTGTTTTTATGTGTGCTAGATGCATACAGTATACTGCACTGCTGCATACTCGATTGTCCCACTGGGACAAATAAAGTGACTGATTGTTGTGTCAGAAAAACAATATGACCACTGTTAATACGGGGCATTTAGGAAGAAATCAGGAAAACTACACCGGCAGATCGGAGTGTAGTTAGTTAACACTTTTTATGATCAGTAGGCTACAGGAGTTTTACTACTGGACAATGCAAAAAAAAAAAATCATAGGAAATACAGTAGGAAACCAGTGTAATAATATAAAAAAAGGATAGGTCTATTGTGGATGACAGAGACCAGGAGGCATGGGTTTAACGCAACAGTAAAAAAAAAAAACCCAAAAAAACCCCAAAAAACCCAAACTAAATAAATAATAATAACATGCAGGGATGCGTACTTTGGTGACATTGTATGTGTTTGTGCCTGGTAACACTTCACACCACACATGAAGTAGTTAGGAAGCAAAGGAGAAGTTGTAATAGTACTATAGTAACTAAAACTACTGGATAAATGGTTTAAACAGATTATGGCTGCAGCTGAAACTGGCTCAAATGGCAGATATTGAAAATAGGTCAAAGTAATGAAGAAGACAGGGGCTGTGGACGCATGTCTCACAGAGAAAGTTGAGAATGACTGCTTTAATTAAAATGCTTCCTGTTTGGTAAGATCATCATCATTGTGGATCTTATCTTCATCTGTGAACTAACTTCAGCTGTTGGTAAAAAAGTATTTCTCTCTTTCTCTGTAGTGAGTAGAAGTGTAAAGTAGCGTGAAAGGCAAATCCTCGAAGTAAAGTTCAAGTATCTCAATTTTCCACTTGAGTAAATGTCTCTGTCGGTGCTGCTGTCTCTCTCTGCCTGGCTGGATTTCAATCTCCCTGTGTTTCCCAGGTGGTTGCCATAGTCATGGACCTCCTCACAGACCTGCAGATCCTCCAGGACCTGCTGGATGCCTCTACACGGCGCGGGGTGGCTGTCTACGCTGTGCTGGAGGCCAAAGGAGTGCCCCACTTCCTGGATATGTGCGCTCGGCTGCAGATCAACGCGGTGCATCTGCGGGTGAGGACTGAGCTCAGCAAACAGTGGAGGGAGAGCGCTTGCACAGAGGGAGGAGGAGGCTTGCTCGCTCGCTCGCTCGCTCACACAATACACAAAGAGCAAATGAACATGGGAAGTTCGAAGCGCCTCAGTGGGTCACTGCTCTCCTGCAGCAGACAATGTAAAGGATTATCATGGATTAAAACACGTTGTGTATCATATGTCACCTTGTTTAGGAAAGAGACAATATGAGCACAGACGTGTTTGATCTGGTCGACCCGTTAAAACGTGACAGTAAATGAGCTAATTAAATAGTTCTGTTGTATGAATAAATGACTGCCACTTCCTGATAAGGCACCATTCATAAAGGCTGTAATCAATGAATGGTTCATTAATGATTTACTAATACTTTATAGATAAAGTTATATTTCATTAATAAGGACAACTTTTGGGTTGCCAGGTTGTGGAAATCCTAGTTAGCCCTTTCATTCATTAGGGAGACGTTGTCTACTAAGATTCTCAGTCTCCCAGGTCATGGTGTCTCTAAGAGCTGTATGAAGGAAAGCTGACTTGTTTGAGGTTCTCTAACCTGAAAGGCTTCTTCAGTTCTCACTGGCTAGAGGGGAATTCCAGGTCTTTAAGCTCTTGTGGGGTTGTTAAAACCTTGTTAGTCCCATCTCAACAACTCTCAAGGAAAGCCTCCTCCTATACTCTTTTTACACCAAAAATAAGTAAGCAGGTTTATTAAACACGGGTAATCCAGCAAAAAAAAAAAGCTTGATTGACTGCTTTTACACTGTCAGTGGAGTTACACAAGTGCAGTTACAGTAACACACACACACACACACACACACACAAACACACACACGCGCGTGCGCAGGGGAGAAAGTCAGTTGCGTCTCATCCTCAGGTTGGAGCTCCTGTCAGTGACGGAGCCTCGTGTGAGACACTATCAGTCGGTGATTGTGTGTTTAAAATGTATTTTGGGCCTGCAGCAGCTCTGCAGCAGCTCTGCAGCAGCGCGCTGCACAGGTGACAGGTGTGTTTACAGTGTTTGACATTACAGCAGGAAAAGAGGCAAAACTTGGCGTGTTAACCCGAGTGTTGTATTTACGTCAATGCCAATCGGAGCCATAGTCGATAAATACCTGCGTCTTCTGCATTTGAGTCATTTGACCAAAGTGTGAATGCCCATTGAACCCCTTTCCGCTGTCGACAAAAACCTGATGTTAGTGGGTCTTAGCAGGTTTTTGGTAGAAAAGAGGCCTTAGTGTGTCTACTCAGCATTTATGTTTCCTTTTCTTACTTTCTGTTTCTCTTCCCTTTAAGTAAACACATAGCTAAAGGGTTTTATCTAGGGCTGAACCATATGCCAAAAAAAAAAATCATATTGCAATTGCTTTCATATTGTGCTATGAGTCATGATTCAGTTGAATTGCCATTGCATTATATTTTCACAGAAAAAATTCTGAAAATGATGATGATGTGATTTTTGTTGGTGATTGTACCAAACAAACATTTTCCTTTTACGTCAGTACAATATGAATTATAGGCCGAAGCGTCTCTGTAGCACCACAGCGCTTCAATTTTGGTCTGTTGTGACACATTTTACCTTTTTAACAAAAAAACGGCAGCTCCTGCGACTTGGATATTGCACTTGGTCATGTTGCGATTTTGATAATATTTGTGCAGCCCTAGTTTTATCTTTTCCTTGAGAAAGTTGACCCGTGCCAGTTGTTTGAATGAACTATGCATGAGCTGGAAAACAAACATGGGCACTGAGTTTGAAGAGAGGCTGTGTGGGGAGGTCCGCCGCTGCCCTCACCTCAACAGTTCGTACAACAGACGCACAGCTCCTCTTGCATGGATGTCCCCATTTTGATTTGACTCATAGTGCGAATGCGTGGAATACATACGCGACAATCTACTATACATCTATGAAACGCACCTTCCAAGTGGCGTATACATTAAAACAACTACGTGTCCACGGTGTCCACAGGTGTCCGCGTACACGTCCACAAGCCAATATAACCGAGGCCTTACAACACAGTCTTGAGATCACTTAACACCCTTCCACACCATGACTCAGGTGACATTAATAGCTCACATCGTTATCTCGTTATGTCATCATCTTACTTTTATGAATTAACATTTAATACTGAGCTGCAGAACCTGAGGAATGACAGTAAGTGCTGGTCTAGATGCAGAGCGAACAGCAGCGCACTGAGCCGGACTGTCATCCTATCTCCTGTGGGACACAGTACCCAGCCTTATCTGCTGTACGCAGAGTTTTGTAGCTGCAGTCTAGTTTAACTGGAGCACTGGAGTACCTGGCTCCTGTGGTGTCAGTTGATAAGGCTGTGAAAGGCCTTTTCAGAGCACTGAGCTCTGTTACTCTTATTTCTCACAAATGAACATTCATAGATTCTGAGCACAGATCCAAAGAGTGTAACTCGATGCTGCACCTCCGCGGCAGAGGGAAGCCTCCTCCCTGTGTGTCTACTCTGTATTAACGTCTCCTTTTCCTCTTGTTTCTCTTCCCTGTAAGCAAACACATGTGGCTAAAGGGTTTGAGTTTTGTCTTATATTTCATGAGAAAGTTGACTTTATGTCGCAAGGTGTGACAGCGCAGTTTGACTTGGCGTCGCCTTAAATCAACCAGTCGTGCATGATACATCGTTGCTCTTTTTGATAGTTGTGGCTGAGTGTGTTTACCTGGCTCTACCTGTGCGATGCTAAGCCAGGTGAAGTGTGTAATTAAGCGGGTGTTTTCTTTACAGAACCTCCGTGTGCGGATGGTGAGAGGGGCAGGGCTGGCCCTGTCCTTTGGAAAACTGCCCGGCTCCTTGTGCTCCAAATACATGCTGGTGGATGGAGAGAAAGTCATGTTCGGGTCTTACAGGTGAGCTCTGAATGATTCACACATTTCAGCCAGTCACACTTTTTAAAGGTGTCATATTGTATAAAGGTAGATGTCCATGTGTTTTTTTGATTATAACTGTATATGTATATATATATATATATTATAATTATGCACCAACTGTAGCATAATGTCCCTAACAATTCATCATTAAACACAACACAGACCTGGACAGCAGTTACAACATAATAGAAAGTCAGGCCAGCAGACTAATGACTTTGTGAAGCATACTGAACTTGTTGAATGACTGGAATGCTTTTTAAAGCACTTTCTCTTTATCTTTTGTTGGACCTGCTCCTTAATCTATTGTTATAAATCAACCATAAGCCATTATGATCACTGATTGAGGCAGACGTGTAAAATGTTTGTAAGATTATGACGCAGAGGCGAAAAATCTTTTTAAGTGTTTACTTGATTAACCAGGTTCAGAGAAATAATTACTACACTATACGTCTGTTAACCCTTACACTCCCATCGAATGTGTAGACAGACAGACATTAGTGCAGGAATAACGTCACCTGTGGTCGAGTGCTGCGTGGAGTAGGTGTTTTACATATATTTGCTTGTGTTATATTTAAAATGTAGGAAGGAAATATATAACAAACTGTAGACCATAACAAGGTGGTTATTATTACACAAATGTGTATATACAAGGGCTCCTGTTATTGCTAAACTTATAATCAACTAAAAAATCTCTAAAGATCCAACAGGTCACTGAGCCAATCAGAAGAGAGGAGGCTCTGAGTGATCTAATAAAATATAGCAGGTTTCAGGTAAACACTCGGAGAAGCCAAATCCCGCAAGGTTGGATGGTGGGTCCAGGTGGGCGGGGCTTGGGGCATGGCTGAGAGAGGTGACTGCTTTGTTGTGACATCACAAAGTTCCAGAAGTCCTGACGGCTGGTTTTAAGGCTCAGTGTCTAAATACAGGCTGTGTGCATTTCTCTGTGGACTGAGCATTTTGATACTTTCACAGTATTAATATAGAACTTAGGCCTGCTTTATAATCAAACAACACATGGACATCTACCCTTATACAATGTGGGACCTTTAATACACGTTATTCTTAAATTTATACTGAATGTTTAAAAGAAATTCTTGTGTACGGAAACTCAGTAACACTTAAAGTCCCCTGGATTTAGCATTTATAAGCAGTATATACAAATTGTATATGTGCAGTTGGGGCACATATACAAGAGTTTACTAATGTTTTTGTTAAGAACTGTGCAGGCTGCTGTCTAAACATATAATGACAACACTAAAACATAGTGTTAGTAATCTGCTTATAATCTCTGTAAAAATGTGTTTTTATAGGTAAAGTTATAATACTGACAAATACTGAGCATTAATAAACCCTAAAAATGTCCTTATATCTGCTCATGACTGAATTATAGTGGATTATAAACTGTTTATCAAGTGTTTGTATCCAGACTGTATCTTTACTTGATACTGACAAACACTTGAACCAGACTCCCTGCAAAAATAACCCGATTTAAATGTTTTGAATAGTGACTGACCTGTCCACACGCCATCTGTCTCATCTGCCACTGACTTCTACCAGTCAGGTCAGAGTCCACTGGTAAACCACATGAGTGACCACATCAGGGGTGAAGCAGTGTTCAGTTTTCCTCCGGAACAGTCGCGGATCACTAAAGTCAAAACTGGAACGACTGATTCGTGACAAGTGAAATGAGCACAGTCATGTTTTGACTCAGGCGAGACTTCATTATGACTCAAGTTTACATGAAGAAATATCAAGTTTTCATAACCTGTGCAAACTCTTCCTGCTGCATGTGGCTGCCACACTACATAATGCTGTAAACGACTGTACATGTGCTCACAAAACAAAAGTTGCACTATAAAGCATGAAGACACTTTTCAAGAGTAGTTCAAAATGTTGGTAAATCTGCTGATTCTTTCTTGCTGTGGTTAAATGAGAAGATTGATACCACTCTTGATATGAAGCAGCTGGTTAGCTTAGCTTAGCTTAGCATAAAGACTGAAAACAAGGGGGGGAAGCTAGCCTGGCGTAAGTATTAATGATATTTTTAAATGTTTTAAAATGAAATAATCTTTAAAAACATTAAAAATCTTTAAAAACTCCTTTCAGTGATTGGCTCCAGACCACTTTGTATACTTGTTTGCTATCCCAGTCTGATTGAGCACTAAAAGATTACATCCATGGCAAAAACTGGAGCATCAAAATGGGCAGATGGTTAGCAAGAGGAAGAATTAAAGCCTCCTGGTAGGTGGATGTTGATACCTTTAGTAGTGTTTCCAGTCTTTATGCTAAGCTAAGCTTTGCTAGGTGGCAGGAGCTTCATATTTATGTGCAGATACAGTCTGAGTGTGGGATCAGTCCTCTCATCTAACTCAGCAGGAAAGTGAATAAGCACATTTCCCAAATTGTTGAACTATTCCTTTTAAAAGATGTTTTATTTCTAACACGAGTTGACCTTCATGGTTTGGTTTACTGTCTTTTCTCCTGCAGCTTCACCTGGAGTTCGTCTCGGATGGACAGGAACGCAATCACGGTGATGTCGGGACAGATCGTGGACTTCTTCGACAACGACTTCAGGGAGCTGTACGCCGTGTCTGAGCAGGTCGACCTCTACAGGGAGTTCAACATCACCAAGCCGCCGATCACTTCACCCATCAGGAAGCCAAAGGTGGAGAAAATCTTACCTCCTCCCGTCCCCACGTCTCGCTTTCAAGTGCCGGTGGGGGACTCCAAACGGATTGATCTGAAGGTGCCTGCACATAAATACCACAATCCTAAGTACTCTCTGGTTTTTGGGAATAGTATGGGCCTCACAGGCTCCCTACAAGACTTGTCGAGTCCCAGGGACTCGCTTGTTGGTGGGCTGAACCAAAGGAACGGCCTGCAGAGCAGCTACTTTCATGCCAGCAAGAATGGAAAGGTGCAGGTGGACCGAATCGCCCTGCAGAGACCTGGTTCACCCTCAGAGGAGGAGGATGAGGACGGAAAGGGAGGCTTGAAGAAGAACCAGTCGCCCGGAGCGAAGAAACAGCGCAGCTCCTTCAGGCACTTCCTAAAAGGCAGAGGAGCCAATCAGAGCACAGAAACTATAGAGGAAGGTGTGGTCACTCCTCACAGTCCCTCGCCCACCTCCAAAGTGCCAGAGACCAACGGCATTGCAGGAAATGAGCTGGAGGATTCGTTTGAGATCATTGAGAAACCAGGTCCACTGAAATCCAAAACCAAGAAGCCGTCAAAGGTCATTCAGCGGAGTGTGTCTCTGCTGACCATCAACACACCAGACGAAGATGGTACGTCTTCAAACATCGCTATCATTTCACTTTTTCCATATTGTAATCCGAATCATTGCTGCAGCTAACGACTTTTCATTATTACATCAATCTGCAGAGTATTTTCTTAATTATTCCATTAATTATTTGGTTTATAAAATGTCCAAAAATGGTGGAAGTTAGTTACAACTGTCCTAAACCTGAACATGACGGTTTAAATCAGGGGAAATCTTTTCAACTATTTTCAGATCAGTTGGTGATTAATTTTCTATCGATCGAATAACTGATTAACCAACTAATCATTTCAGCTCTAGTGACTGTCAGGCTGCAACAAAGAATAATTATAATTATGGTGCTAAGCTAAACAGCTGCCATTTCCATTCACATGAGGTTGGTATCAGTCCTTTCAAATAACTCTCCAAAAGAGTATTTTCCAAAATGTCTAAATATTCCATGTAGACATATTTTTTAAAAATGTCTAAAAGCTCATCATACTAGAGGAAGGTTTCCACACACACACGATATAAAGGACATATCAAAATCAGACAATGAGTGTGGGGAAAACATTCAACTCACCCAATCAGTATTTGAACATTTATGATACTCAGAGCTGCAGACAAAATTCATTTGGTGTTAAAAGTGGCTATAATCAATATTCTTACAATTTATGAAGTGACTGTCAGAGAGTCGTTTCCTGTAGCAGCAGCAGCAGCAGCTGTTTTCAGAGAAACAGCTGTTCAAAAAAAAAAAAAAGCCACTGTCCTCTACCTGCTCCGCTGCAAACAGCAGACACACTCAGTCAGAGAGCAGCTGGTGAACACAGTGGAGCATTTAGCAGCTAAAGAGCCAGATATTTCCCTCAGGAGCTGGTGAAGACCAAACACAGACCTGAAAGAAAGAGAGGGGATATTGGACTGAGATACATCAGGTGACACAACTATGACTCCCAACGAATAGTCATGTTGCTCTGTAACTGCTGATATCTCACTGCTGTGTTTGCAACTTGTCTCCTCTGGGAAAAAAAAACAAAAGCAGTTATTGCTGGTTTAACTGATATTAAAGGTCCATATGGTATAAAGGTATATTTTACATGCGTTGTTTGATCATAAAGCAGGTCTAGGTTCTATACAAATACTGTGAAAGTATCAAAGCGCTCAGTCCAAAGAGAGATGCACACAGCCTGTATTCAGAAACTGAGCCTTAAAACCAGCCGTCGGGACACCCACCTGGACCCACAATCCAACCTTACAGGATTTGGTTTCTTTAAGTGTTTTCCTGAAATCTGCTATATTTTTATTGGATCACTCAGAAAACAGTGAGCTAATCAGAAGAGAGGCTCAGAGCCTCCTCTCTTCTGATTGGCTCACTGACCTGTTGTTACTAGAGCTCCACAGAGAAGCCTGAGAGAGGAGATGTAAAACTACACTGAGATGGTTTTAGGTTCTTAAAACTACAAATATATCTTCTTATATACCTAAATATATACCTTTTAATCAATCTGTGTCTTCATTTGAACAGGATTCAAAAGCCGGCGACGGCACCAGAAGAAGAACTGCATCCAGTCATGAGATCAAAACCAGGAGTCTGTCGTCAGAGTGATAAGATCAGCTGGGGGATCTGATGGTTAAACATTATGCAACAGCTGAGTCAGTGTTACCTCACTGAAACTAAGTCATGTCACTTTACAAGACGCCCCCATCTTCGGCCTGTTGTACTGCTGTGGTTTGGCTGAAAGTCCTCTGCTGGTGCATTATGGGACTCTGCACCAAAGAGATGTTTAACTAATCATGTGAGGAATAACTCCATACAATCTCTCCTAGTAGCCAAAGGGCTGAGGGGAGATTTGCATTGCCATTATTTTGTTTTTCTATGTTTTTTTTTGTATTAAATTATTAATACAGTGTTGTTTTTATGTTTTACACTTGTGTGCTTAAACCCTAACACCACTGAGGGGCCGCGATGCCACCCAGGTGGTGTGGGTGGATTACGTCACGCCTGTGGTTGCTACAGAGACAGGAAAAGTGATCAGTTGTGCTGTTGCCCCTGAGTTTCACTTTACAGGGACGCTTGGTAACAGAGTAAGTGTTCAGAGTGGGTTGTACAGGCTGTGAATAATGTAGAGTGTCGACAGTCGTGCTTCATGTGTTCGCACTTTGGCCTTTTGTTTTCATCCAGGTGAAACTGGAAGAGATTAAAATGTGAATCCTTCAGAACCACTTGATCCACAAATCATCACATTTTTGTAGATATATGGAATTTGAAAAAATGTTTTTTTTTTATTAATAATAATAAATGAATAAATAAATAAATGGTTTGTGTGATTAAATGTCAAATAAATTAAAGTGTAAGTGGTTTTCCAGCAAGTCAAGTATCTTATGAAAAGGTTCAGTGAGCAGATGAATTTCCTGCAGCTCAGTAGAACCTGTTCCTGGTCTGTTGATTAAATTATGAAGACATAAGGTCTGACGTAGAGGTCCACTGGCAGTGTGCCCAGTGTCATAAGTCCAGGGCAATGGAGTAAGCAGTCATAATTAATGGGAATTAAGGTATTAAAAAGTCTTAAACATCGTTATGTACTAATAGTTGAAAATACTGACCCATTGCCCAGTTTTTTTTTTTTTTTTTTTTTTGAAACTCACATTTTTCTAAACAGGTTTCACTTCTGCAAACCTTTACCTACTTCTTTACCAACATGCAGCTCAGCACAACAGTTAATCTCACATCCAGAATGCTCTAATGCAGCAGACCAGACCAGAGCACCTCTATGTTTCAAGTCTGTTTAAGTGACTTTTGGGTTCACATTTTGCCTGGTACCTCAGTTTGGCCAGACCTGGTCTTAGTAGTTCCTGGTGGTTCCAAACGTCTTCCATTTCACAATTACTGAGGCCACTGGGAAGTTTCACTCTGATCTCTGACTCACAGTTTTCTAACAGAGGTCTCCAGGGAGTTCACTGGAGTTCATTGGTCCTGACTTGCAGCGTGAAGTGTAGGGCCTCATACACACGGGTGTGTGTCTTTCTAAACCCCATCCGATCAGTTCAGTTTCCTACAGGTGGACTCCAGTCAACTTCTACACACATCCCAAGGATGCTCTGCAGACAAGCAAAAAGAATATATTTCCTATTGTGCATGGTCTGCATTAAACATAACAAAATATTTCTTTGGTTTGGAGTAATGACATGTATTTATTGTTTATTCAACCTCGTAGTCACCTCAATCAAATATAGAGGTCCAGTTTATGGACCTCATTTATAAGGTGAGAAGAAAGGAAACATAATTATTTTTAGTCAAACAGCAGTGACGTGTGCAGGACATCAAACAGTGAAGAGGTACAGAAACGTCAACACATCAGCTGATGTCGTGTCCTTTAAAGACGCCTGAGGAGGTTTGTTTTCCACAGGTGAGTCAATAACTCACACCTTCACTGTTTGACGAATACACTGAGAAAATATATTTAGCAAAAAAGCAAATATGATGTTTGTTTATTTGGGTTTGTGTGTGTGTGTGTGTGTGTGTGTGTGTGTGTGTGTGTGTGTGTGTGTGTGTGTGTGTGTGTGTACACCAGCTTCCAGGAAACCATATCTGTATCACAGCATCACACACACACACACACACAACAGGAACTTCACAGGAAAAGATTGAATTGATAATTAAATAACTGAGAATAACAAGATAACACAGGGCTGTATTAATTTGATAACAAAAAACATCCAGTGAGTTGCATTAAAAGTAAATATTTGAACATGAACTTCCTGGTGAAAGAAGTGACATGTTATGATGATGCAGCGCCATCTGCTGGAGAAACAGCCACACATTCAGAATAAATGAGTTTATTATACAGATAGTTTGATCCCCTCATCAGTATGAAGTCATTAAATAATATAATACATGTTAAACAAGTGTATCTAAATAAAATACATTGTACACTCTATGTAGTCATAAGTTAATTTAAGAGCTTGTCAATGTTTTTGTAGCTTTTCTGGTTTTTCTATTTACGTGAATTTAACAAAGCTGGTTTGTGATTGTATTTGATGTTCATCAGGAAGAGAAAGGACAAATTTGATTTCATCAGTAAGTGAAGTAAGAAAAGTGAAAACCCTCCACAAATCGCTCATGAAACTGCTTCTTTAAGCTTCATATTTTCCCAGGAAGCCTCAAATAAAAACACCCGGAACAGGTTTAACAAAGTGCTACATACTATAGGTAATAAACAAATACAAAATAAAACAACTTTAAATATTCTAACATGAAATAATATCAATAAATAGCTGCTGTTTTTACAGCCAAGGACAGACTGTGAGACATCAGGTCCCTTGACACAGACATGTAACGCCCCACCCCCAACACCTCCCACTGCAAGACATTTATGTCTCATTTTGTTGTCTTTTGAGTCTCTTTGTAGTTGTTTTTACATCACATTATAACACTGACTGTGTTCATTTCACGCCACTTGGTTGTTTTGTGTCTGTTTTGTGTATTTTGTCATCATTTTATGTTTCTTTGTGGCTAATAATTGTAGCTTTGTGGTGTTTTATTGGCATCTCTTTGTAGTCAAATTGTGTTTGTTTTGACTTGTTTGCATGGCTTTGTGGTTATTTGACTTTCCAGCAAGAAGTCACTTCATATAGAAGCTCAGTCGGGAGGGCACCATGGGGGGTCTTTGCCACCCCTCGGGCTGTGCCTCTGCAGCAGATGTGTGTCGGCCCCTGAACCCGGAGCAGTAGTGCGTGCAGTTTGCAGAAGTAATGTGAAGACCTTACACTGCAAGCCACAAATAGTTCACAAAGTGCCACTTCCCAATTCGTACATTTCTGTGAAATGAAGTGTGATGAAGTTGAACAGACTCAGCATGATTAATCCATAAAATGCTCAGATGTTGTTTCCACCGATGTCTGGAGTTTCAGTTTCTACGAGGATGTGTTGCTAATGACCTTCCTCTTACGTAGAGACACCAGGTCGTAGAACGGGTCCTTGGTCATGCTCGCCCTGCGAAAGAAGATTCAGACGACGTTTGAAACTGAAAGATCATCAAGAACAGTGGTAGTAGTAGCTTTTTCATTTTTTCGTGCCCATACAGTCATTGTCCCTCCCAGCTAGTTCTGCAACTCATGATTATTTACATTATTGGTTCATTTCTTGGTTATTTTTTTTTATTATTCCACTGATGGTAAATTAGTTAATAAAATGTCAATAAAATGAAAATACTGTTTCATGGGAACCTGCAGATGTTTGGTATTTTTAGCTGCAGATGTTCATGCCCAAAACCCAAGGTGACATCTGGATTAAACTATCATAAATGAAATGAAACTATTATTAAAACTGATCAACTAACCGATTAATTGACTAATTGTTTCAGCATTATTGTGAACTCCAGTGATGGCCCTTAACATTAATACTATTTCTCCTACATCCACACAAACCAGTAGGAGACATTAGTGCAGCGACAAGGACGTGATCCCTCACCAGCTTCCCACCAACGAACAGTTATGTTTGTTTAAACACACAACAAACTAAAGGTAGAGAGCTCAGCAACAGACCCACGGAAAATCTCTTGAATTTGCCTAAATTAAAGCATGAGAGTCGGATGGTTAGCTTAGCTTAGCACAAAGACTGGAAACAGGGGGAAACAGCTAGCCTGGCTCTGTCCAAACGAGCACCCCTAAAGCTCAAGCACAATTTACTGTTGGACTATTTCTTGGCTCTGAGGAAACCAGCTGAGTCTCCAGAACGTTACTGGTCCCAGTCAAGTAATAATCCAGCACAAAACCTCCTGTATAAACGAGCTGCAGCTTTAGATGTGACTGTAGCCTTCCTGATCTTTGCTGCTGGTTTTTACTCTTTTCTGATCCTGTGTTCCAGCTTCAGCCTTGACGAGCACTGGCTCACAGAGGCACATGTCCTCCCACGTGTTCTCCGCAGCATCAGCAGCTCTCACCTGATTGCGTGGATCCAGTTGTCCCGCTCTTCCGTGCTGGCCGCGCTCAGCTTATAGGACTGGTGTTTACCCTGCACCACTCGGCCTTTGTTCTCCGTCTTGCAGGCCTTGATCTTTTGTCCTTTGGGATTATATAACTCCAGACAATACTGTTCAAACACAGACACACATGTGGCACCATCACTGTATGTGCATATGCTTTCTGTTTGTTTTAACAGTCCTCTGATAGCCCTGTGACTCACTATTTTCAGCACTTGTGTGAGAAATCTAGCAGCTTCTGTGTGATTCATGAAGTTGTGTGGCTGCAAAAAAAATGTGTGTGGAGGCTCATCACTCCCTTCATTCACTTCACAGCAAACGTAAATAATACTGTACCGGTTTGCTTGTGTCTTGCAGCTCCCTGACACACAGGTTCTCCAGAGGGATAATCCCGATCGGGTCTTTATCCTGGAGGAAGAGACGGATATTATACAGACAGACCCCACCTTTTAACCACAGGAAGCATGATTGACATTTGCATATTTTGTTGTCAGTGCAGTTTCCTTGGCAGCAGAGAGACAGATACTCACTGTGGTGTACTCAAAGTAGTACAGGCAGCTGTCTGTCAAAATAAACCACCTCCTCTTCCAGGTTTTAACACGGCCACCTTCCACAAAGACAAACAACAATTTACTGAGATGTAGTAATCTCACCTGAAAGCCTGCAATCTACTCAGTGTGCTACAAACATAATCATCTCACCCATTTTAAGGAGCCAGCCCTCTCTGTCTGGATTAAAAAACGTCAGCGTGAGGTCGTTCCCATCGTCCTCTGGGATTTTAAACGGCTCGCTGCGGATACTCGTGTACAGTTTCTGGAAAACAATTGAAAGCAGAAGAAACATCAACTAAAATCAAACTATATACTATAAACTATAGACTATATACATTGTTAACATTTTATTTTATATTTTAGCTTAAAAAACTGCAGTAAAACTCCAGAGGATTAAAGACAATGAAATAATAATAATAAAAAAAACAAAAAAACACTGGAAATAAATGAAATGAAATTTAATTAAAAATTTTAATGTATCTTTCTTTTGCCTCTCTTTTATTTTTATGCCTTTGTGTCAGCAACAGTCAGAGCGGCAGGCATTATGTTTCGGGTTGTCCGTCTGTCTGTCCCATTCTCGAGAATGCTAAATCTCATTACACCTTGAGGGAACTTTGGCACAAATGTTTGGACTCAAAGATGAACTTATTTGATTTTGGTTGTCAAAGGTCAAAGTCACGGTAACCTCACAAACCATGGTTTTGGTCTCTTGAATGTGATATCTCAAGCCCACCTGGAGGGAATTTGCTTAGATTTGGCACAAACATTCACCCGGACTCAAGTATGAAGTGATTAGAATTTGGTGGTCAAAGGTCAAAGATCGAGGTCAAAAAGACTGCTGGACGTTATTCACTGCTGTAACTCAGGAAGAGGAGATTGTGACCATATTTGCTGCAGGTTGGCAGGTTGGTTTTGTAAATTGGTGGCGTGATTTGATCCCATGTGGGATGGACCACATGTTTGGTACGACGCAGAAATGAAAAACAACAACAACAAAACAAATGAAATGTGCGGCCGCTGACCGTGAGCAGCTCGGTGGGCAGGTCTTTCCCGTTGTTGATGCCACTGTTCATGGAGAAGAATCGCTGCAGACTGGGTTTGTCTTTCACATTGGGGTTGTGGAGACTCGTGTTGAGCATGATGATGGCAAAAGACAGGATGTAGCAGGTGTCTATTGCACACACACAGAAGACAGAAAACCACAGTGTTTCCTTCAGCCGTGCATTGTTATCACTGCTTCAGCTGCATACATTCAAAATTGCAGCCATTTGTGTGAATGCTGCCTGAGGAAAAACTCTTCTATTGAACAATCTGTGAACGATGACTTGTCTCCTATCATCATCAATCAGGTGAGACGAAGCCTACTGTGTTCGTACCTGTGGACTGGAAGACCCCTGGGTTACAGTCACAGTAGCGAGTTGCAAACGCCTCCATCATCCTGTCAATCTTCTGAGCTTCTCCCGGGAGACGAAAGCTCCAGAGGAACTGCCTGTGAGAAAAGGAGGAGGAGGGGTGTAAGAAAAAACACACACACGCACACACAAGAAGGACGATTTCCACATCGTCAGAAAAACATGACTGCAGGCGAAACTGCTGCAACATTTCTCACAGACTTTATCTATTTATTTGAGTTATTTATTTTTAAAGCAAACCTCAGCGCCTGCACCAGATTCAGGTCTGAGAATTCATGCAAGTCCACGAAGGCTTTCAGTATCTTCAGATAAATCTCCTCCCTGTGTGAAAAGAAAATAGGAAATAATCATCATCTGGACATCTGGACCAAAATCCATTTCTAAACTGCTTATTAACATTTAAAACTTAAGTGAAGACGTTCCCCATTCAGTTGTTTGAATAAAGACTATGAAGCATGTGTTTCTACTCAGTAAAAATGACATTATAAATGTTGGTAAATTAATAAGTAAGAAGGTAAGTTAAAGAATCAGCTAAATATACCAAGTATTAAAATTAAAAGTACTAACTATGTTATAAAAAAAAAAGCCTCCTCTGAGTGGTATGTTACTATGCATTTTATTATTGAGTTATTATTACTGACGAATTCATGTGTAAGCAGCATTTTAATGCTGTAGGTGCCCCAGAGAGGCGCTATACTTTTAACTTCTTTGTTTATTGTTGGGTGGTTTAATCCTCAACAACTCATTTAATAAGCTGCTGGTATGCTGTGTGTGTAAAGTCATCAGCACAGTATCAACAGCTGTCAGATGGATGTAATGCGATGTAAAGAAATGTAGTGGGAGCTGAAGTATAAAGTAGCATATAATGAAAATACCCAGATAAAGAACGAGCACATCGATACTGAACCGTAGTTCTGTACTCCAGTAAAAGTGCTCAATGATATTTCCAGATCAGTTGTGTCAATGTTGTACCTCTCTCCCAGAAAATTTCCGATGGCGGTCTTGTTCAGTCCCTCCTCTTTGTAAAGGAACTCGGCCACTGACTCTGCTTGCCATTCCAGCAGGTCGTTTTCAACCAGGTAATGGACGCCCTGCAGGAAGTCAGATTTGTATGAAGAGCATTCATTTGGAAATCAGGGGCATGCAAATCGGCAATGTCCCTGCTTACACACAAAAACTTTATATACTTCATGTCAAGTGGTTGTTCAGACTGTAATAGAGAAGAATCTTTAAAGTTAAATCTTCAGAGGTTTTATTTGTGTCTTTCAGCTTACAGGGCAGGGAATTGTGTTTAAATCAAAATCTTCATTAGTCATATCACACACCGGGAAAGTTTTATTATTCTCCTTTAGAGTCACTGCTGCCATTAATCACCAGAGCAGGAGATAAGAAAGGTTGAATGAATATTGCATGCTGTTAACTCTCAATCTCAATGGGTGTTCAGAGCCAAAACATCAAAATATGACCCTTTATTCTGAGTGCGTACTCCTGCTAAGTGCCTCTTCAAATCAATTCCACTTAAAGGCACCCTTAACCCCCCTTAAGAAGTCTTAAAGCTTCTCTTCCGCCCACTCGCACAAGTCCTCGGGTCTGAGCACAGACCAGGGCACAGGCTGAGGGACTCAGAGTTTGTTTTTTTTTTTTTTTTACCGGAGATGCAGACAGATAGAGGTTGTTGTGGTGAACTGGAGCTTCTGCCCCACTTCAGGGAACAGGATGTGGGTTTTCTCGCTATTGCTCATCCTCTGCGCCTGTGCACTGTGCACTGTTTGCACTTCTGCACATCACACACACACACACACACACACACACACTCCGCTCAGTTCGACACACATCAGCTGTCTGTGGAGTTGTCTTGCTGTCATCTTGCTCTCAACCTTCAGATGAAGTGGAGCTGAAGTGAGTGAAAGTGTACTTTCACCTCATGTACCTTTACTGTGGCTCAGGGTAACCAGAATAATAATAGAGTTTCCGTATGAACTGTTAAATAAATGGCATGTGACCTGTCAGAACTGAAGATGGTGTTGCACATTTAGAGAGAGCTCTGCAAATGTTCTGTGCACTCTGTCTACATGCATATGGGTGACCAAATGAAAGATTTAGTCTGATGGTCAAGTGAGGCTACAAACACACACTTTTCAACATGCAGCACAGGTTATATTGAGCTGTGTTGAAACATCAAATGACGAATAGTGGTTGTGTCAAAAACTTTCCAACCACTGCAGTTTAAAGACACTAGAGCAACACGTAAGACCTTCATAGAAAGAAATAAGTCAAATCCATGACCATTAAATCCACTTTTCCTGTTTATAAACATAAATATATGTGTGTATATTGTATATATTTATATAAAAACTCACCATTTTGGGGTCCATGTTGAATTTCTTTTTCCCACGTAAGAATCTTCTGTTCTTCACAACCTTTTTACTGCAACAAAAGACAAAAAATGTAAAATTAAAAATAAAAACCTTTCATTATAAACTAATATATTGTGTCATTGTTTGTATCAGAAACTGACTACATGTCCTCTTCTTTTTACCACATATATAAACTTTCTCTATAAAGTTTTGTCTATTGTGAAACTGGTATTCTTTATGTATGTTTGGACTTCATGTAATATATTTGTAAATGTGTGCATCGTACTCTATCTAGTTTAGTATTAAGTTGATGAGTCTTGCAGGTTGGGTATATTTATATGCATGGCATGAAATAATAAAGAAACATCAAACTCAAAACCTTCAAATGTTAATCAAATTCATATAATCATATATATATATATATATATCATATAATAATAATCAAATGAATCATTTCACTTGGCCAGTAGTTTAAAACACAAATTATTCAATTGCTAATGTGATGGTATTCAGAGAAACTGCTAATTCTCATATTTCAGAAGTGTAAATCAGAAATGATTTGGTATTTTGACTTGATAAAGATGACCAAATACATTATTAAACAACTATCAAAATGGTCATCAATTAACCTTCCATTAATCTGTGAGTAGTAGCTTAGTAGTATATTTTCTAAATTACTAAGGGTGTATTTTATCAAGTGGTGGGTGTTGGAGGTTTTGGGATTTAGTGGGGGCAGCAATACTGAGAAACTGTAGTTGTGATGCCAGTAAAACATTTAGAAGAAAAAGTGTCACTCACATATGATTATCTCTGTCTGAGAGCAACAGCAAAAGCAACAGGAAGTCCAAATATGCAGACAGCCACATGCACATCACTCTCAAAATGTCGCAACACCATTCTGTCTAAATTCGTTCTGTCACAGTAAATGTGTTTTGTTATGCCTAGAGTTTCACAGCACAGGCCAGCATAGCCAGACCATAAACTTAGATATACTGAATAACACTGATAACCAATTAAAGCTGTTTGCAGTTTAAATAGTTAGTAATTTAGTGAAGTCTGGATCTCTGTATTCGTTAACTTGACCACCATAGGTCCAATCACTGGACACAGTATCTAGGTTTCTGCGTGTATGGTTGAAACCACTATAGTTATAGATTATGTATAAAAAGTTGAAACAGTTATAAGTACAGTTGTTAGCTAAAATGAATGTATTAGTAGTTAGCTAAAAGTATTAGCAGGTGAAATAGTTAGTTAAAGGTAATGTATTAACAATAGTTACTAAGCTAAACATATTAACAGCTGAAATAGTTAGGTAAAAGTTATAGTTAGCTTAAAGTATTAACAGTTGAAATAGTTAGGTAAAAGTTATAGTTAGCTTAAAGTATTAACAGTTGAAATAGTTAGGTAAAAGTTTTAACAGTTGAAATATAAGTGATGTATTAAGAGTAGAAATAGTAGGCTAACAGTTAAAACAGTTTGGTATAAGTACTGGTTGAAACAGTTAGCTAAAAGTAATGTACCACTGCTATATGTGAAGCATTTTTTTTAAAAGGTCAAGTATATAACTAATTTTAGTAACAGGTCCAAGGACGAAATGCTAAAATGTGCAGAGGCAGCACCTGAAGGACAGTGTTCAGAAACATTGCAACAAAATTGATTGCATGACTTTGGGAAGTTGAGCATTATGGTGTGTGGGACTCCAAACTGCATCAAAATGTCACTTAAGTAAGAGGAAGATGCTGCTGACTCATTGAAGAGGTGTTCTAAAAATTTCCTTATACTCACTTCTGCTCCTTCTGTTCAGAGCTGTTGATTTCTGGCATGATGTGATTGATCTCCAGCCTGAGCTTCTGTGAGAGGAAGTTGAGAATGAGAACTGTGATGTTAGCTTGGGAACAAGGTTTGATGTTACGTCACAGACACCCTTACACTCAATTGCAGGCTATGTGACCGTGGCTATTTGTCCCCTACTGTTAAGAAAATAACCTTCATATCTCTATTAGAGCTTGGTGAATGAAATGCCTTTGTGTGCTGTGAAAAACTCTGCTCAGGCTGCCAGGAGTGGGCGCATGGAAAAGAATAATGATGTACTCTAATGTAAGACCTTGGAAAAAAAAATATACTCATTACAGTACCTGGATGTCATCCAGCAGCTCAAACTTGTGAATCTTGATGGTTTCACTCGGCCTTCTCTCCGCCTGGGTGAGTTTCGGTGGGGCTGTGAGGCAATAAAAAGCATCAACACTGGGACAGTTCAGGATGGTGGCTTATACTTGATGCAGCAGTCAGTACATTCAAGCAGTGTGGACACAACAACTTCATTCACACCTACGCTTGCTCACACAGACCAGAACGCATCACAACTTTATACTTCACTGGTTAGAGAAGTCGTCAATGAACGAAAGAAGGAAAAAAGGCTTGAAAGAGCTATCTCTTCCTCTTCTAATGAATGATTGACTTGCCAACAGTCTGATCTATTCCTGTCAGAATTTATGTTTGCAGAGTTGCTTATGCAGTTCAAATATTGTGTGTATATAAAGTAAATGAGGACTTATATATAATATCAGTTATCAGCATGATGTCATCCACTGTGCCAAAGTGACATAAATGTGATTAAATTCCATGTTACTCAATGCTCACCCACTTAAAGTAATTCAGAAGGTTAGTCTATAAAACCACTTGTATAAAAGTTCATCAAACGTTTTTAAATATGACTTGTTATTAACGTGATTATTTGTGGATGGTTTTATTTGCAGCATAATAGTGAAATTTAGGTTTGGTTGTTGGTTGTTTAGGTCTCAAATGATGCAAAGGGTGAATAACATAAAAACAAATTTACAAGCAGATGCTTTGGTCAATATCACTGAACAGTTTGTCACCCACAAAATCTAAATTAGCAGCATTTTATTGAGTTGTACAGACAAATGGTGTGACTTAAAACATCTCTAAATCATCCAACAACCTTGGTATTTGTGTTTGAGAAACAGCTTATTAAGTATAGTAATATAATAGTAATATAGATAATAACAATAATAACAACAATACAGATAATAACAATAAAAACGTACCTTTCCCCCAAAGGAAGCTGTCTTTTCTGCATATGGCCATATTGTTGATGGTGTAGAGCGACTGAACGTCTGCACAGGAAACAGAGTGTCAGAGTGAAAAAAGGGCCGGCGCTGCCATTCTGAGAGCTGTGACACTGACAGGACTCCGACCTCACTCAACAGCCCCTCTTACAACATTTCAGATGACGTGCATGGCAAAAATGTTGACATGTGGACCGTGCGTGAGGACATTTCTTCACGAAACACAAATCTCATTCATATGCTGCACAGCTGCTACTATTATTACACCACAGTACACCTATTATTTCTAATACTAGTTCTCCAAAAGCCACAACTGCTACTCATGTCATACTCACATTACAAAGTGCCTTACAAAAAAACAACTGAATAAAAAGTATAGTAATAGAATAAACTTGACAAAAAAAGGAAACATAAATGGAGCCATACTAATGTCACTGAACAATAAAGCTCAGTGGTTTGGTAATTTGTTTTTTACACTCATGGCACAGTACACAACACACATAAAACACACCTCAACAACTGTAATGTTGTATCAATTGTATAATGATGCTGTCAGTTTGACGATGCAACGTCTTCAAGTATCAACAAAGTCCAGCTGCCCTCGATTCAACTTTTATTGGATAACCATGACCTGGAAGACGGAGAATCTTCACACACGTGTAAGATTGTTTGGTGGAGGTACATGCTCTACTGAATGCCATTCTTGTTTTCATTGTTTTCATTGTTAATTATTTACTGGATTAACTGATTGATTGTTTGGTTTGTAAAAATTCAGGAAATAGTGAGAACTACTGTCACAGTTACCCAGAGCTCAACGACACCGTCACAATGCTTTTATTGTCCAAAGTTCAAAATTATTCTAAATATTCAAAGTAAAAGCATCAAAACTGTCACATTTGTACATGTGAAACAAAATGTTTGTCACATCATTTCAGCTCTACCTGAACATACATATGGGTAATTTACTCTGTAACAAAGCATCAAATTTTACAAGCACTTCATATGATTTGTGTGCAAAAATCTTAGTTACTACATCAGTAGAAAGATAGTTGAGTTAAAAACTACAATATTTCCCTCTGAAATGTGGTGGAGTAGAAGCACCTCCTTCTCAGTTATGGTCCGCCACTGATTATTACAGATGTTTTACATGTAAGCAGCATAGTCATCGTGTAATTGGTTGAGGTGGAGCTAGTTTTCACTACTTCATATAGTGTTGGGCAGTTTTATTTATGACACTATATTATATTTTACAAACTGATCATATGTTTGTGTACAGTATGGAAAGTAAAAAGTATAATACTTGGCTTTGAAGTGGTTGAGTATAAAGTAAAAAAAAATGCAAAGTAATGTACTTGTCACAGCGGCCTGTTACTGTACCATTGACACAGGGCTGAAGTTACCATGCTGTCTGTTCTTAAAGAAGTGCTGGCTGACATTTCTTCTTCTTCAGCAGGAAGGAAACAAAACCTGTACAAAACATTTCTAAATATGAGGCCCCACCTAGTGGGGTTTTATATACCCTAACACCTCAGACAGTGTTGATACTGACTGACTAGTATATATTTGTAAGAATGAAACAGAAGAGGTCATTCAGTATGATTCATAGTTAGGTTAAAAGGAAAAGACTAGTTATCTTCAGTATTTTTGTTACTGTCAACTCTGCCCTAATTTATTCCCACAGAATATATGAAAACATCTGATCAATAATATATTTGTTGTTTAAAAAACGCTCAGTAATTTCCTAAAGGTAGCAGGACGGTTTATAAGTGATAAATTACAGTGTGTGTAAATAAATCTTAACACAGCACTTTAAAGAAAGAGTTATAAAGGGGAAATGAAAACACCCCCCACAAAAAAAGGAAGCAAAAATGTCCATGCGAAAAATATTTTCTAACACAATGCTCAAAATCACCCCCTATTTATAGTGCACACATTTACAACATTTGAACATTTACTGTAATTGTATTTAAGTGTCTGAATTCAGTGTGTGTACATTTCTCCACAGTGTTTCACATCTTAACAAAAACTCTATGGTCCAACAGCACAGCACGTACACTACACTGCTTTGTGATAACAATCGCACAATGCATTTTATTGCTATTTCATAATATCTTTGATTTACAGAAAATGAACGTGCGCCTCAGCAGTTGTCAGTGATGAAACAAAATCATGATGATTAGTGTTTGTACTCTTGTGAGTCTGTTATATAGGCGGCTGTGAATGAGTGATTTCAGACACAGCTGATGACTGGTTAAGCCAACATGTTGTCTTCAACCTTTATTTAGCTCCATTCATCAGCTGATCTAACTCACTCCATATCATTACCTTTGGAGTAATAACCACAAATTGTATAAATATGTTACCAGCTATGAATAATTTGACCCCGTGTCAAAAAAAATCAACTGGTCAGGAAATTATTTTTATATTCTTGACTATGCAAGTCAGTCATCAAATGCGCGCGTGGGGGTTAGTTGTATGTGATCGGTCAGATATATTTTAAACTTCATGAGTCAGGATCAGTGTGTATTTTAAAGTAGATTTGCACTTTGAGCAGGATGTGAGTTTATTGTGAAACATAAGAGAAACAATTGTCACTCGGTGCAAATCTTAGTTTCATTTCACAATAAATCCTTGATTGAAGAATGAAAGGTTTGGTTTTAAGTGGCATCTTCATTTTCATTTACATTAATGCGTTAATGCTATTTAAACTGCACTCCAGCTGTTAAGACTGCTCATTTATGACCGTGTTTTTACACGTATAAGAATATCATCTCTGTGCGTGTGAAAACATTTATCCTGCCCACAAAGACAGTCAAAGACAATATTTGAGTAACATTAATACATATTTTATTTCTAAGTTTTAGCAGCTGAGAACAACAGTGTCTAAGTTAGTTAGTTAATCATCTAATTTACTTTTGTGTTGCCGCAGCTCAGACTGAGATAAAATGAGACTCTCCTCACAAACTATGTCAGTCCACACTTAAAAAAAGCAGCCAGCACAAATAAGCCTGACAGTGCGTTCTCAGCTCGATTGTTCTGAGTTCACTCTTATCAAATTGGACCCGTTCCTCCCGCTGCCAATCATCAGGAGTGTTTATTATTACACAAGGTAATCTTCCAGCTGCAGCCTTTCTTGTCTGTAGTGCTTTCATCCTCCTGTAATGGCGTCTATCATTGTGTCCATAATGAGGAATGAATTGTTCACACAGTTCTATATATAGGAGGATAGTTTGTGATGAGACAGGCTTGCTAGAACGTTGATCACAAATTAATTACTGTATGGGGCTAATGGGTACAGGCAGAGGGGTTCAAGAGGTCAAGGTGTACCGGGGCCAGAGCCTCTGTATGAAGTGGCTCTGTATAAGACAGTCAATGCAAATGCAAATTAACAGCAAAGAGACACAAATGACCACAAACAGTGACAAACAAAGAGAAACAAATCAACCAAGGACGTACAACCAGACACAAAATGACCACTGAGAGATGCAAAAACACCTCAAAGACACACAAATCAACCACAAAGAGACAGAAAGTGACCAAAAGGAGATTCAATGTAACCCAGGAGATACAAATCGACTGCAAAGAGAAAAAAACACGACAAAAAGATGCAAAAAGAGCTCAAAAACATGAAAAACAACCACAAAGACACACAAATCAACTACAAAGAGACAAAAAGCGTTCAAGAAGAGATGCAAAATAACCAAAGAGACATAAATCGACTGCAAAGAGACACAACACAACCACAAACTGACTGCAATGAGACCCAAAAATAACAGAGAGACCCAAAACTTGGACTGCACCTTCATTCTGGGTATTTGCTCCTATGAGGGTGTGGGGGGCCTTTAACATGTCTTTAGTCTCATAACCTGTCCGTTACATCACCATCCACATGAAGCCAATCTTTCGTGAGGATGGTGGCCTGTGTCGGGAGCTCTCACAGGAGAAGTTTGAGACGCTCAGGTTGATTAGTCTGCAGCTGTGCTCTCTACGAGCCTCACATCAGTCAAAGTGGACGTAATTGCCTCCAAAGTGGGCTTCAGCAGCTGTTGCACTGACAGTCCCACACAGCAGCAGCAGCAAGTCACAAGGAGTAAGCATTAAAGTGTGAGCCCGCTGCATAAATCGCAGGTGTACAAAGCGTGACAAAGGAAAGGGAAGATTGTCCTTCATATTGGTAATTATTGAGGTGCCATCCATCCCAATTTGCACCATTTAAAATCTCCCCACTTGCACAAAAATGTGCACTGAGTGTTTTGATTTCTCATTAGGCTCCGACAATAGCAACCTGCCTCCCCTTTCTCAGCCCCACATGCCAGCGCCTGACACATTTTCTCCTGTGAAACTTTGGTTTGTAACACTCTGACACTGGTGTTTTATTCAGTTGCCATAGTATCTCGATATCCATAATGCAAATGCATCTTTGTCAGATTAGAAACCTTCAGGTACCAAACGCAGATCTATTTACAGCAGGGGAACGTGGGCAGTGTGCAGAGGTGACAGGATTCATATGTAAGGATCATGTTGTCATGCATACATCATTCAACTACACATATATACACCACACACACATACATGATGCAGGTCTTCAAGAGATCAACAGATCCAAACCTTGTCTGAGGATAATTAGACCCGATCCAGAATACAGTAGACCCAAACAGACCCGAACAGAGAGAGAGCACAAACACTGGCAGCAGCAGCAGCAGCAGCAGCATGATGTGCTATCAATTAATTCATCAGTTAATAAGCAGCTGTGGTGAAGAAAAAAACATCAATATGGAAGGACATGATGCTGCGATGTCTCTGGTCTATTTGGGCCCACTCAGGTACTGACACATTGACGCAGAAACCAGCAATAAAACAAGAACCTACGTGACTCGATTACACTGAGTAAAATGTGGATCCAATCCCACTCAGGTCACAGGTCAGATCTCAGTTTAACACAGGAGATTCTTGTCAATCAAAGATCTCAGAACTTAATCTTCATCACTTCATTTCACTTCTGATGTTTCTGAGCAGCATGTAGAGAGAAGTGAATACAGTGGGAATGGTTTGCTGATGGTTTCAGTTAGTCTGCTGATTGTTTGAGATGAGCAACCACAGCAGC